CTCATGGCACCACGGTGTACTGAAGCCGCCCTGTTTCCAGCCATTGTAGACATTGAGAAGGGTAATGTGGTCGCCGGATGGATCGTTGAACTTCTGCTTCTTCTGGTCTGCTTGCTGCTGCTTGTCTCGAGGGCGATGGAAAACGTTCTGAGTGGCACTAATCATGGCTACGATTGTGAGAATCTCGTCTGAGCACTGGAGCTCGACAGACTTGATCAATGACTTGGAGAGAGAAGGGTCCATGGGGAAATCCGCCATTTGTCGACCAAGACGCGTGAGCAGTCCTTCGTCGTCCAATGCGCCCAGCTGATACAGCTCTTCCAGAGCTGTCAACATGGTGTTGGTGGGTGGTGGGTCCATGAAATCAAAATGCAACAGATCATTAATGCCCATAGCCTTCAACATGAGAATCGTGTTTGACAGGTTCTGACGTTGAATCTCTGGAATAGTTGTCGGTAGCATCTCGTTCTGAAATGCTGCTTCGGTGTACAGACGGAAACATTTTCCTGGTCCGGTTCTTCCTGCTCTGCCACTTCTTTGGCGAGCCTGGGCCTGGGAAATAGGCGTAATCTGCAACCGGTCCATGCCTAGCTTTCCGTCGTACGAACTTTGCTTGACGAAACCTGGGTCTACAACATAGTAAATGCCGTCAATAGTCAAACTGGTCTCGGCGATATTGGTAGCAATGACACATTTTCGACTGCCTGCGGGTGCGGGCTCAAAGATGCGAGACGCCACTTCAGATGGCAGGGCACCGTAGATGGGTAAAATCATCAACTCTGGTACATTCGGCCCCAAGGCCTTCATGCGCTCAGACAGAATCTCGCAAGAGGAGTCGATTTCTTCTTTTCCTGTCAAGAAGAGCAAGATATCACCTGCTGGTTCTGTCAAATGGATCTGCATGACCGTAACCAATGCCGCGTCAAGGTAATCAGACTCAGGCTCCCGACTATACATCACCTCGACAGGGAACGTGCGACCTGGGATTGAAAAAATGGGACACTTGTAAAAGTACTCCGAAAACTTGTCGGCATCCAGAGTGGCACTGGTAACGATGAGCTTCATGTCCGGTCGTCGCTTGAGCGTCTTTTTCAGCAACCCAAACAAGACGTCCGTGGCAATGGTGCGTTCGTGGGCCTCATCGAGCATGATACAGCTGTACTTGGACAACATGGGGTCCAAGAGAATCTCACGCTGCAGGATACCGTCCGTCATGTACTTGATACGCGTATCTGGTGAAGTCTTGTCTTCAAATCGAATCGTGTAACCAACCTCGTTCCCTAGAGTGCAGCCAACTTCTTCAGCAACACGTTTGGCGACGCTCATAGCTGCTACACGCCTGGGCTGAGTGCAGCCAATAACAAGTTCGTTGGCATAACCGGCTTCGGCCAAATACTGTGTCATCTGTGTTGTTTTTCCAGATCCAGTATCACCAACTACAATCAAGATTTGATGGGCCGCAACGGCCTCGAGGAGTTGCTTCCTGAATTTGAAGACAGGCAGGGACTCTCGCTGTTCTTTGATGCTCATGTTGGTACGCTTGCCAAAAGAGGTTTCCCTACTATTTGTGGAGATCTTTTTCCATTCTGGCAGTGCTTGACTGGGTTCATTCGTTCGAGTGTTGCGGAGATCGCTTGCGAACTGCCGTTGCTGGGCCATGGGGTCGTTCCACTGACTGCTCAAGTCCACATTTGCCGCTTCTTTTGCCGCCTTCTCCTGTGCTTCTTGTTGTTTAAGATCACGACGTTCCTTGGCTAATGTGTCTCCGGCCATTGCGGCACGGTTGAGCGAGCCATCAGGTGCTTTAACAACGCGGATTGGCGAAAGCTCCAGTGATTGCTTGGTCTGACCGGCCAAGAAGGGTGGCTCTTCTTCACGGACTTCAATGTCAACATCCTCTTCCTCTTCGAAACCGCCCTCGCCGTTGATATGAGCGTTAAAGTCCTCATCAATATCGGGGTAGTCAGATTTAGGAATTACACCAGAGGCGATGAGTTGTTTGATCTCCCATCGCTCTGGCGAAGTCATACGTTTCCGCATGCCATTTTTACGGCTATTGTAGCCATCCTCAACAACGGGCACGGAGCTATCAACTCCTGAAATGCCACCGAGGCCTTGCGAGTTCGCGCCAGTTCCAAATGATGCTATACGCTTTCCCGGTGCAAGATCACGGCCAGTCCGCTGGTCCACCTCTTTCATCGAGAGTGATATCCTACCGTTTTCTGTCTTGATAACTTTAACCTTGACCTCCTGCCATCTCGACACAAGATCTGATGGATGGTTGACTCGCCCCTCGATCATCTGGGTGACATGAACTAGTCCGTCGACCTTGCCTTTTACACCTTGTAGATTGACAAAGCAGCCAAAGTCCTTGACACCCGTGACCTTGCCGTCGTAAATCTTGTACAGCACTGGCTCGTCGTCGAGCTCGGGAGTGGGTGGCCGTCGGAACTCTTCGATATCTTCGTCGCGATACTTCTTGCGGCTTCGTTGTTTATTGCTGGGCTTGACGGTTCGCGTACGGCCAAATTCGTCTTCGAAAACCAATTCGTCGTTCTGCTCCCGTTGTCGCCCCCGCCGCGGACTTCTGGATGGCGAGCGAGAAAGTGATGTGTCCCTTCGCCTATGTCGTTTGCTCCTACTGGTATCGTCTTCGCTATCGTATGGGCTCATGCTCCTCTTGCGCGACCGCTCCTTGGGCTTGCCTGGTGCCTTCCCTGCCAGTCCTTCCAGCATAGCAAACGTGTCGTCTAGCGCATCGGCCTGCGGTGCATCATTTGTCGGCTCCTCATCTGCCACATCGTATTCAACCTCCCTATCGGGAATGGCTAATCCTTTGAAGACACGCGTCTTGCGACTTGTTGCATCTCCATCGTCTTCTGTATTTGCGCCTCCCTGCTTCCCGCCTGCGCCTTTGTTCTTGTATTTGGGATGTAGAGTCAGAATCAGGCGATCGATGCTCTCGACCAAGCTCTGTGGGAACTCGGCGCCAACATCCTCGAGCTGTTTCTTGAAATCGGCAACATCCTTGCAGTCGGCATGTTGGTCGATGACGAACTCGGCAAGTGTCTTATCAGAGACACCAACGTGGTTCTGTATTTCCGACGTGACCTTGGAAACAAGCGATAGGAATTCGAGGTTCTCGAGGTCGTCCATGGCGGTAATCTGCGTCTTCGCAAGGCGCGTGGCTCTGTGAATTGTCGGGACTGGTGAAGTCGCGCTTGCCGATGATCGGATTTATGCGGTTTCTGAATTCAAGTCTTTCGCTTAGGTGCTAGTACGCATGATGTGTTGTAATCTGGCCGTGGTTGACTATGGAAGATTGGAGTGGGTGGATTGAACGGAGCTGTCGCATAGTCGAGAAAGTTGATGCGGCTCGGCGGCGAAATCGCGCTAAGGCGTGTCCCCGCGCTGCAGCCACTCATCTCTCGCCAGACTCCGCATCACCCCATTCCGCCTCCCGCGCATACTTACTCACCATACTCAACCTCAGAAAGGTGCTGAGCGTGTCCAGTACATCATTCACTACTCCGTTCTACATATCCAGCCTGATTTAAATCGTGAAACATGAGCTCCACACGTATCTTCCACAACATCTCACGCATACCCGTCACATCCACACTCGTTCTTATCTTCGGCAACTACGAACTCTACCGCATACACAAAGGCACACACCCGTACTGGAGTCCCATCCTAGAAGAAAAGGGCATCGTCCGACGGCGTGTTCAGAATACTTCAGAATCCACGGGTGGCCAAAGTGCCCCTGTCGTCGAGTCCCAACGTGAGGGGCGCAAAACCTCGATACAGTGGCTAAATCTTAACGGCGTCCCGATACCCTTCATTACAGGGCGATCAGTATAAAAAAACGACTGTGTCTTATGGGTGCCCTCCGTCGACTTGGCATACATTAGCAGAGGATATAAATGAGAAGTGATAAGAGAAGGCATTTTTGATAATTTGATTATATTGCACATTCTGCGGCCGATACAGGCGTCAGGTGTCGAAGCGTTCGAGCAAGCGTGGTTATTTTTTCCGGCAGAGTAGGAGGAGGAACCACAAAAGGGGGCACTTAGTCGCATCAGTAGCTACAAGCGACAATTGTTGAGTGTTGCGGGTTCTAGCTGTATATCGCTAAGAGGCCGTTGGTATGGATCACAAGTGACAATCACAGACAATCCGAAGGCATTAAGCTCTACCAAGCAACACAATCCTGGGAACGTCGCACGTCCTGTCCCCACGTCCTACCTCCGCATACCTTCCCCACGCGGCTGTGCTCGCCAATCTTGCAGCTTGAACAAAACCGGCAGGGAACGGGAACATTGACGGTCTAAATGCCATGTTGCTTTAGGGCAAAAAATCCGTTGTCGGGCGATGTTGAACTCGGAGCGTGAAATGGTGCAATATGGTGCCATGCCCTCAGCTTCCACATTAGGCTAGCGTCTGATTTTACACCGACTTCAGCAACTCACTCCACCAGTTAGTCTGCTTTGTACGCAATGATGTGCGCTGAGCCGCAATTATAGCAAGAGACAGCTTGGCCGATAGAATATGAGACCGTGCAGTACATCGTTTTTCCTCCCATTAGCCACTCAGTGCTTCGTAATTCAATGACAGTTCTCGTACGCCTCCGATACGTAAGATTGCAAAATGTCATCAGTGTTGTGGACTGTGTTTGATCATCGGATTAGGTGCGATGGCGCAATTGCTCCAGCAAGGCCGGCATATTGTTTCCCCACAACAATACGCACTTTAGATATCACTTTACTCAGCAGGATATAAGTAGTGGATTCACTGGCTTTCTCTTTCCCCAGATACTATTCCACTTCTCGAGTCATACGAGCATCCTTTGCTGTAGCAATTTAGATTCTCGATTTGAGTGCCATTGCAGGTTCTATCACTTCTACCTCATTCTCTTCAAAAGACATACATAGAAGAAAGCCTTCCAAAACGTTGCAATCACTACCATCTTAAATAGCGTACATCGTACACTTGCCGCTGCCATGGCGCCTGGACTTGTTGAACCACAATTTCAACCCAACACCACAGACACTCCCGTGGTGGCATCAAAGCCCACAAATGCACACAGCTACGTCCCGGGACGAACAAAAGTCAAACAACATGACGACACATACGAGTACGAGGACTTAAGACCACACTTCCCAGACATCACATGGCCGGCATACACCGAGATTCCCTACATAGAAAAGGGCCAACTAGGAGACCCAAACTTCAAGAACCTCCTTGCCTCTGCCACAGATGTCTTTGACTACAACCCCAAGATTGGGACTGAGGTACACGGTGTGGACCTCGCCAACCTTACCGATGCACAAAAGAACGATCTAGCACGCTTGATTGCGACACGAGGCGTCGTCTTCTTCCGCGACCAAAAGAACCTCACCATTGACAAGCAAAAAGAGCTGGGCAAGTACTTTGGCGAGCTACACAAGCACGCCACAACGGGTGTTCCCAAGCGTGAGGGCCTCGAAGATGTACATGTCATCTTCACAGGAGAAGGAAGTCCCGATCTACGAGCGCTGTTCACACCCACATTTCTCTGGCACTCAGATGTAAAGAACTATGCCTGACCTCTAATACCAGGATCTTGCTGACCACGCCCATGACAACAGGTAACATACGAACTCCAACCACCATCCTACACATCGCTCAAAGTCCTCACAGGCCCGCCACGGGGTGGCGGCGGCGATACACTCTGGAGCTCGCAATACGCAGCCTACGACATGCTCTCGCCACACATGCAAAAGTACCTCGAGTCACTGACCGCCCTACACTCTGCCGATTTGCAAGCCCAAGGGTCGCGCGACCTGGGCCGCACGGTACGACGTGAGCCCGTGACGACGGAGCACCCGCTTATCCGCACCAACCCCGTGACGGGGTGGAAGAGTCTGTTTTTCAACCCGGGGTTCGTGACGAAGATTGTGGGTGTGCCCAAGACCGAGTCTGACCACATCATCGGGCTGCTGAATGAGATTGTTGCGACGAGCCCGGAGATCCAGGCGAGGTTTCAGTGGAAGGAAGGTGATGTTGCGTTTTGGGATAACAGGGTCACGGTAAGCCTTTGGGGGATTCTTGATACAAGTAATTGTGAGAGTAAATACTAACGCAGTGTAGAATCACTCAGCATCATATGGATTTGCGCCACATCGCAGACACGCCGTGCGCGTTGCGGTGCGTGCCGAACGGCCGTATCTTGATCCGCAAAGTCGGTCGCAGGAAGATGAGTTGAGCGAGAGGTATGGGGTGCCCAAGGCGAACAAGGATGGTAGCGGTATAGTCAACTATAATGATTAATGACAGAAAAGAAGAAGAAGAATATGACATCAATTGCACGCATCAGACACATCATCATCATTAGTCTAAGCAGTAAATCTAATGTTTACAATAATATATAACATTACAGGTAAATGGATAGCAGCCACGACATGACCCATCTCAGACGGCCAACCAGTCAAAGCCAGAGGTAAATGACCAAAGCATACATTTCAACGCCAAGCCAATATTTACGCCATTTAGAGTAATTTTGTTTCTGATCCCCTCTGATTTCTCCCTATAAAGGTCATTTGGCTAATGAATTTTGCGGCGACTTTGATGTGCCAGTGCGACGTCTTCTGACCATGCAAATACCTAGACTGATGATGGCGAGCACAAACAAGACAATCTTCACTGCAAGTCGTCTTTTGTCTGATGAGGAGAGCGGTGCACTTTAGACTACGTCAGACGTCGGGTCCGCTAAAAGCAGAGAAAAACAAAGCCGACAGTGATTCGCACTAGTATTGGAAACGAAAAGTGAGATTGAGCATCTAATCCTGCTCTTTTTCGTACCCTGCTGGCTTTTCCAGGCCATTCAACTCGTAGAAGCGAGAAGTACCTGTTGATATGTAAGAATTGGTATTTGCAAAAGCTAAATGGTCAAACTTACAGCTGTAACCCTTCCAGTCAAAGTTGTCCTTGGGGTTGCATGAGCACTTATGGTCAAGGCGGTATTTCTCGCCTGTAGGGCAGTGCGTAAAGGGGACGTGGTAGTAAGCAATGTCATTGAAGAAATGAAGCTCATCCTTTTGCAGGAGCAGACCGGCGGCGATGGAGTGGACAGGCGCATCGCCCCAGCGCTCGTAGAAGAAACCACCAGCTTGGTCGAGAGAGGTGAAGAAGTCAATGTATGCGTCGGACCGGAGCCAGTTAAGGTTGCCAATTTCGAAGTTGGACCAGAAATGGCAGTGGTTGTAGGTCTCGCCACCGTCGTCACTGAGGAACTTCATCGAGTTGTCCTTGGCGATGTGCTGGGGGAAGTGCTTCGTGAAGTTCTTGGTGGCGTCCCAGAGTGTGGGGATGGTCTCGACGTACTCGTACAAACTGAGGGTGAAGCTGTACTTCTTCTTGTGCTCAGCCATGTACTTGAAGGTATCGTAGTTGATGTCGCAGTACAGCTCGATGCTGGGCTCGACGCGCCAGTACCATTCGTAGTCGAGCATCAATGGGTGGCGGAAAAAGAAGCCCGATTCGTAACGGCACATGTGTCTGTAGCTGATGGAGTCTCCATAAATGATCTTCTTCTCCTTCATCTCCTGGCGGACCTTTGCGGCCTTGTCCTGGTCAATCCACTCAGGGAAGGACCAGTGCTCCGTGGGGATCTTGCCGTACTTTGTCTTGCCGGATACGAGTGCTGTCGTCACCTTCTTGAACTCGTCGCTGAAGTCGTCATCGTTGAGGAAGACCCAGTCGTAGTTGAACTTGCGGTTGAAGCGGTCCTCGACGTGGCGGATCGACTTTGCAATCTCCCAGACATCCTGGTTGCGGGCGAGGGTGACAAAGGTTGCGTTCATGCGGTCACCGGCAATGGTGGCGGGGGGAAGTGTTTTGTCATTGAGCGAAGTGCCGGGGTTGGTGTTGGCGCCGGTGCTGGGGGTGGAAGCGCGAGGGGATTCGTCGTCGTCTACAACGGCAGCATTGCCCTGGGGCGGTGTGGCTGGGGTTTTTGCATCTTGGTAGGCTGGCCAGCTTGCGGCAGGGACGGACGATGAGGAGCCGATGAAGTAGAGAAGGAACAGGGCCTGGAGAGAGTCAATGGCTGCGTGGGCGTGAGTGCGGTGACAGGGGAAGATCATACGATGACGGCGAAGACAATGTAGCGGAGATAGCGCTGGCTGCCGGCCATGGCGGATGGCGGACGGTGTTGGTGTTGGTGGTTGAGACTGCGAGTCGTGATCGACAGGCTGGAGCTTTCCTAGTGACGTCGGAGACTCTCCACTCTGCCAGGCTGCTTTTATGCTGCGAGCAAGAGTGGGTTAAAGGGTGCGCGTGGCGTCTTTGGCGGCGGCGGCGACGTGGTGCAGGGGAAACGAGCGACTGCTACTTGGCGCAAGGCGTGCGCATGGGCAGGACAAGGCGGAAGAAGAAGGCCACGGAAGGGTGGGCGGGGTGAAACGGGGGACAAGGTGGGGAAGGAGAAAAAGAAGGAGAGGGCGGGTGGGAAGAGAAGTAGAACAGGAGTTGGGCAGCCGGAAAAGGAGTTGTTGCAGTGGTAAGAATGGTAGGCAAGTAAGAAAGTGTGGCTGAGGCCCAGGTATAGTAGGCTAGGCTTGCCCGGGGGGTACGAGGGCCAGCCAGGCCATACGAGTGCGCGCGGACTTTGCCGTCGATTATCCACCGACCACCACCACCGCCGCCGCACACGCCCGCCCACAACAACAACCACCCCCATCACCACCACCACCACCACACCCACACATCGACCGTGTGGTGAGAGAGGCCCGTCGCCATGTCCTTCTTCGGCTTCGACACGACGCTACCACGTGGCCAGGGCCATTCGACTGCTGCCCCCGGCTTTGGCCAGCACGATGCCTTTGCTGCCCTCGGCGGCGGGGCGGCCGATGACGATGTGTATGTCCATGTCGCCCTCGACGCCCACCAGGCCTGCTTCTTACTACTCGCAGAATCGACTTCGACGATACCTACGACGGCCTCGGCGACCAGCTAGACGACGATGCCGACGACCGCAATGACGATACCTTCGGCGACGGCCCGGCCACGCAGCAGTCGGTTGGCAAGCACTTTGACTTTGCCGGCCAGACGTCAATGGTTGCCGGTACCATTCAGGAAGAGCAGATGTTGTTCCATGCTCGCCAGAAGATCCCCCAGCACCACCAGCAACACCAATTGCAACAGCAGCAGCAGCACCAACAGCAGCACCAGTACCAACAGAGACCCCCCGTCCCCCAGGCCTCCAAGCCCAATCGCTCTGGCTATGAGAGCTACAAGGACCCCGAGTACATTCCCCAGCTTGAGGCGCGTGCCGACATCTGGGGCCTCAAGCCCAAGCAGCCCGCCGCCCAGCGCCAGCCCTCGCCACAGCCCGCCGCCGCTGCCCAGATGCCCGCGCCCACCAGAAAGGTCATGAGCATGGAGGAGGTCGAGGCCATGATGCGCGCTCAATCTCTTAACAACGACTCCAGAGCTACCCCGCCGGCTCAGCAGCCACCGCCCCAGGCCTTCCCCGGCTACCCTCAGCAGCAGTACCAGCAGCAGGGCCAGTTCCCCCAGGGCCAGCCACAGTATCCCGGCATGCCTGGCCACATTGCGCCTCAGATCCTGCAGAGGCCCCAGCAACAGCAGCAGGGCGTGCCACCGAGACATCAACAGCAGCTCCGTGCCGAACTGCCAGACCAGCCCATCCAGTCCCAGTCGCCCCAGCAGCCCACCATTCTCCAGCGACAGCGACCCCATTCGAATGATCCCGGTGCCCCGCAGAACCAGATCCAAGGTTCACCTGCACAGCCCCGCCAGATCCTGCAGAATCCCAACCGCCTCGCCGGCCAGGGCCAGCCTATGCAGCCTGGCCCACATCGCGGTCAGCCAGGAGCTCACAACAGAGGTCCTTCGTTTCCTGGAATGGTTATTACTCATCCGGAACAGCTCCTTCAGCTATCTGAGGCTGAGCGCGCTGCTTTCCTTGAAGAAGACGCAAAGCGTGCGAAGCGAAACCACAAGATTGCCCTTTTGGCAAAGGACAATGGTCTCATGACGCCTCAGGACAAGAACTTCATCACTCGTATCCAGCTGCAGCAGTTGATGACCGCGACTGGAAATCTGGAAGAACGGGGCCCCGAAGCTGCCATTGCAGAGGACTTTTACTACCAGGTCTTCAGCCAGATCCGGGGTGCTCCACGCCACAACCCTCAGCAGCCAGCAAGCCAATTTGCCCAAACCTACCTCTTCCAGACGAACAACCGATTCGGCGCCCGTCGACATGGCCGTGGAGGCGACAACCACATGCAGCGCATGGAGCAACAGATCCAACGCGCAGTCGAGGCTGCCAAAGCACGGCCAAAGGCCAAACAACTTGTCGTTGAGGGCAGTCTTGGAAAAATTGCATTCAGCAACTCCAAGACGCCACGACCGCTGCTGAACCTCAAGCGACCGGAAACCAACGACAAGCTCCCAAAACACGCTCGGTCCTCCATCGCAGATCGTAAACAAACACTTCGTAACATCGAGGCTGTGTACAAGACGTTGATGCAAATGGAAGATCATGAACGTGCCATGCCAATGCCAATTCAAGAAAACAGCCCCCCTGAAGCCATCCAAGCACACATGGAATGGCGATCGCGGATTGAGGCTCTCCATGAGCAGCTCTGGCTCAACACAAAGATTATGGAGCCCATCAATCCCAAGTATGTCGTACCCCACAATAAAGCTACTCCTGCTAACATGCCTAGCACGCCTCACCCCTTCATTTCCATTCTTTCACACGCCAAGGGCAAGAAGGTTATACCGCGACTCTTCCGTCACATTAACGAGCAGGAGCGCATCACAGTCGTGACCATGATTGTCGTGCACCTCGACGCTCTTTCGGTAGTGGGTCAGGCCATTGCTACACCCGAAGAGCCCCTGAGTGCGGCAATCCGTGAGGAAGTCGATCTCTTTTCCCAGACTGTCATGTCGCCCATCCATGCGCACATTTCAGATGCGCCGCTGAACATTGTCATTGGACTTCTTGGCCTTGTTCTAGACCGCACCAATCTCCATGTAGTGGCGCGGAGCAGGATAGGCCTTACTCTGCTAACATTCCTGATTTCCCGGGCTGAACTCCTTAAGCAGTCGGCCCCCGAGATGGCGACGGATTGGCAGCAATGGACTGGGCTTTACAACCGTTTGTTTGACGTTATTGAGCCTGTTCTCCCTTACCTGTTCCCAGGGAGCATCAACGACACAGACGACATGTACATCTGGCAGTTCCTCGCAGCAATGGGTGTGGGAGCCAGCCCAGAGCAACAGCAGAGGCTAGTACTCGGAGTGAAGGACCGTGTCATGGAAACCGTTTCTGTGAGCAAGGCTTTACCACCAGACATGGCGAGCGCTCGAACAGCAAACGTGAACTTGTTTATGAGGGCGATTGGGCTAGACGTAGAGCTTCTTGGATGAAAGGGCTGATTTGCAATGTTTGGAACACACTATCGCGGTTGAAACGCCACCGATTACGCAATGTGATTGACGGTAATGGGAGGCGCAGTGCGAAGTGGGATGTTGCCGCGCCGGGGCAAAACGCACGCGAAGGCTTGGAGGGAGCCATGGCGGATGGGCCAAGCACAATGGGAGGTTACAGATCCGGCAGCAAATGGCCTGGCAAGGATTGGCATATTCTAGTGCCTGTGATTGTTTGTATCGGAAGCAAACATGCACACTGGGTACGATTGTGGTGAGCGGCAATCTCGAGTCATGATAGAAGGGAAAAAAAAGTATTGTTATTTAATATACGAATATATGCATTGATTTCATGCAAACAAATGCCGCCTGTCATGGTAGTGTAAGTGAGTAAGTAGCCGAGACCCTGCACGGCCAACTTTTGTGCCTAGCTTAGGACTGATGTACCATGCACACATGTTTTCTTACCTTCGGTACCAAACACGTGGACACCCTATCTACACTTGGGCAAAACGAATTTCTTGTGGAGCTGGCGCTCGCCTCGAATAATGGCAAAGGACAGTGTTTGGTAGGCACTCTTGGCTGCGACCATTGGCATGGTGCGGATTTGGGTCCCACGAGGAAGCGATTTGCAATCTGAAAAAGCAAATCAAGGGTAGACTGGACGCGAGGAAAGGCCCCTTGAAAGTCAGGCCCATGTCCGAGAGGCCGAAGTGTTCATGTGTAAGTAAGTAAGTAAGTAAGTGAGTAGGTATTACCATGGGGCAAGCATGTCCCCCAAGACGGGGAGTGTTTGGAAGGAAATCCCTCGGCATCATAGCTAAGCCTCGCCGCGGACGCTTCTCTGTCGACACGGTGCTGTACGCGCCACTGGCAGAGCTGGGCCGGCGGCTTTGTCTGTTCAAGTGGTGGGCGCGAGGCCCCTGGGTTTCATCGGAGCCGAATCGCCGAGTTAGCTTGTCTGGCCTTGGCACTCTGAAACACTCTCAACTTCATGCAACTACCAAAATTCGTACGCGGCGCCAACCTCATGCAACGCCGTGGAGAGACGTGCAAAACTTCAACATTTGTAAACTCGTCCAAGCAGACCTGTTGTCGTCGTAAGCGAGCGAGCGGGCAAGCAAGCAGCCAGACGACTGCCCAGGTGGACATGGAGAATGCCCAAGTACACATGAACGCATCGTAGCGTCATTGCCATGGCTGGCTGTTGTATATGGCGTCTGTGAATGCTACGCCACTGAAACGCACCTGAGCGGCGACCCACGCCGATGAGCGCTCTCTCGCTCCACTATCACAACCACCATCGTAGATGGACGCGTAACGAATCCATCGGCCCCTTATCGATACAGCCATGATGAGGCTCTAGATGCTCCCTCGCCACTGAGCTTGCGCAGGTCCGACCCACATGGCTGCATGGAACTGAACGGTGGCTACCCAGGCTCGCATAGGGCCAATGGCCTTGACAGGCTGACAGCAACTAGCTGCTATTTCCCCATGCATCTCCTTCAACGTAGTACGCGTAGCGTTTTGTCTGCTGCCGCGTGCATTTCCGTCCGGGTCTTGAGTACGTGTTTAGCGCTCCCAAACATTTCAATATGCAGCGCTATATGATCCGATTGTGGATTCGAGTTTCATCTCTCTACGAGTTTCACCGTCTCTGAATGTAGGGCTTGCGCCGGTATTCCTTCTTTTTAAAAGCCACCCTTCTCGCACACTCATTGCCAACCATCCTCCAAGGCTAGGCCTGGGTTCCATTTTTTGTTTTCTAGGAAGTGGTGTTTTGTTTCGTCCGTTTCCTTGTTCTCCCTGACCGCTTCTTCTTCTTCCCCTCCTCCTCTTTTTATTTTCTCCAAACGACAGATTCATTCTGTCAGGCTGCCGGTCAGCGTTTGCTCAACATGCCTTCTCTCCGATTTCTTCTTTTTGTTGCTCTTTTGGCAGCCGTTGTGCTAGCCGTCCCGGCTCCCTCCCGCAAGAGGGGTCTCCAGAAACGTTCCTTCAAGGTTCCCAGGCAATTGAACAAGGCCCATCCCACTGGCCCCAATGGCCCTGCTGCCATGAGGAAGGTATTCAGGAAATACAACTTCAAGATCAGGGAGGACTTCATGGTCAAGGATGGCTTCATCTCCTTCTCCAAGCAAACAAAGGGCAACGACACTGCTACTGCTGCTGCCGCCGCTGGCTCCAGTGGTAACTCGAGTGGAACAGTTGCCGCTAACCCTGCCGACAATGCCGCTCTGTTCTTGTCACCCGTCGACATTGGCGGACAGACCCTCAACTTGGACTTTGATTCTGGCTCCTCTGATCTGTAAGCTTGTGCTCAATGCTCCTTATAGCCAACTATATACTAACCTGTAACGCGCAGTTGGTGTTTCAGCACTGAGCTTGACCCTCAACTCATTGGTCAACACACTGCTTTTGATCCTGCCAAGTCGGCTACCTTCAAGAAGGTGGCCGGTGCTCAATGGAAGATTAGCTACGGCGATGGTTCTGGTGCCGCTGGTATCGTGGGCATGGACACCGTCACCATTGGAGGTGTTACTGTCAAGAACCAGGCCGTTGAGCTCGCTAGCCAGGTCTCTCAATCGTTCGTTCAAGATACCAACACTGACGGTCTTGTCGGCCTTGCTTTCTCCCAACTCAACACTAGTAAGTTGAGCAACTCTCAGGTGCAGCACCTCTTACTGACAACCAACCAGTCAACGATGGCACCAAGAAGACTCCTCAGAAAACCTTCTTCGCCAATGTCATGAACGATTTGGATCTGCCTGTCTTTACTGCCGATCTCGACCCGGATGGCACTGGTGTCTACGAGTTTGGCAAAATCGACGCCACCAAATTCGAGGGCGAGATGGCCTGGATTCCTGTCAAGGCTGAGACTGGCTTCTGGCAATTCGGCTCTACCAAGTTTGCTGTCGGTGACCAGTTGTTCGACAACCCACAGGGCTCTGACGCTATTGCCGATACTGGTACATCTCTTCTTCTTGTGGACCAACAGGTCGCCGATGCATACTACTCGCAAGTCAAGGGTGCTCAGCTCAATGCTCAAGTTGGTGGCTTCATCTTCCCATGCGCAACTACCCTGCCCGACATGAGCGTCGCCATTGGTGACTCGTACATGGCCAAGATTCCTGGTAACCAGCTCATTTTTGCGCCTGTCGACAAGGCAAACACCACCTGCTTTGGTGGTGTACAGGGCAACCAGGGTTCGGGTCTGCAGATCTATGGCGACACCATGTTCAGGGCGCAGTTTGTTGCCTTCAACGGTGGCAACCAGTCGCTCGGTTTTGGCCAGAAGCCAGCCACTCCATAAGCGTCCATATGTGACATGGGCTTCTTATGCCTACCGTGCGGGGAACTAAGATGATGAGCTGTAAATAATTAAGTGTCTTTTGCACATTCCTTTGAGAACATATGAAACGGCCTACAGTACAGCAACGGCTGAGTACAATGAAAAGTTTAATCTTCAAATCGCTGTGAGCCTATGCTGTCCTGTCTGTGATGTTGTAGCTTTGGTTGGTGTTGACGCATCATGTACAGTCCCCACATGGGAGTGTTAGTGAGACAGACTAGGAAGGAACAATCCTCGACCCAAACCCCAACACCAGCTTGATCACCCAGGTCAGAAACCCCGATCTTCACTTACGTGAGTTCAAATATGTGACTACACGTGTGTGCTTACCATGGACCAACTAAGTTCACAAGATGAACTCCGTCCTCTTGAATATGCACGAGCGCAAGGCCTCTGTATTGATTATACAACCGAGCCACTACCCCTTCGGGATTTGAGTGTATTATCGGCTACAGCTCTCGATGAGAGCCTTTGTAGTCTCTCTGACTTCCTCACTACTGATGCGGCCTCCACACTAACAAAGGAACGACTTGCAGTAAACAGAGACGCTGTACTACTGCTCAAGACAATCTATGCCGACAAAGAAGAGCCTTCGGCTAGCTGTTTTCAGACTGACAACAGAAAATGCATCTTGGATTTAAAGCACGAACTTCCGGTCCTCCAATCAGACCACGATGTTGACTCGATAAATTTCGGTAGTGTGGCGCCACTAGACTTCAGAAATCTCAAGATCCCATCTGAACTTGTTAATGAACAAAATGACGAGGGCCTTGAATGGCCTGCTATATACCTCACGTATCTTACACAATGCGACGCGCAAGCCAAAACCGAAAAGCTTGTTGTCTCAAGAAGCACACTCTTGCATCTCCAAGAAGCTATCCGCGATGCATACGTGCCAGAGGATAGCGAGGCGCTGAAGGCTAAAGACGGGATCTACAATCGGGTAATTGGATGACACATAATCTTTCTATACGTACGCTGAACAGTTTAGGATCTAATCATTCGGCCCCTCACGCCTCCCTTACTCCCACTTTCTCCATTGCCGGAGCCCTACATACCTTCATCACCTACAAACAATCTGCCGCTTGTATCAGATAGCAGTGACTCTGTCCGTGCAGAGACAGAAATCATTCAAAGCGAGATCATGGCCGCAGATTCTCTTACTCGGAAAGAATCTGATAGCAGTGATTCGATGCTTCTCGACATGATTCATCCGCTATCTTTTAGCCCACTGTCCGAGGCATGTGCACAAGTTCCTTCGAAGCGTAAATTTGCAGACTTGAAAGTGGAAGGACCTTTGACACCATCGGTATTTTCTACCTCACCGATGAAGAAGCTCAAATCGGTCTCTTTTGCCACAGCATTAAGTGAGCTTATCTCATATGAGCCGTGGGGCCAGGATAATGCCGATGGCGATGATGATATCACAAGTGAGGACTATGGAATCTTCGCAGAAATTGAGCCACTAGCTGAAAAGGTGAGCAATTCTGTTGGAAACGAGCAACTCTCCGGTGCTGATACGACTGCACGTGTGGACGTTCCGTATATCGACTCTTCGCTACCCGTGGCACCCTGGATTGAGTGTAGTCGGCGTAACCGCGACAATTGCCAGTATCCCACTGAGCTTGAGTCTCAGACGCAATTTCTACGAAGGATCAAACGTGAGGAACTGAAACTCGCGCCATCCTGGCATGCAATGTCAGTCCCGGAAAGAGAGTTGCAATGGGGTTTCTTGACGACAAAGATATCAACACTGAAGCTAGAAGAGACATTACATGGCGAAACCGAGATGAAGAGAATTCTAAGTGAAGCCAGGACAGGTAGCATTGCAACCAGCTTTACGCAGGTGTGGAAGCGGGATGGGCTCAGAATCCTCGATGAAGACGACGAGGACGAACTAGAGTCAGTGCTCGATGAGGATAGCCAGGACATGCAAGCTTTATTAAACAAGCGCAAACTGGAGCTAGAGGAAGATACGATAGGGACACGTCACAAACCAACAGTGTCACAGCGCCATCTACCAGCAGGCTTGGAAACGGAGACTACAGATACAAGCCAGCAACTGTCACAAGAACAGATTTCACGGCTGAAGCCTACACAGAAGACAAAAGATGATGATGGCAGTGATTTCATGTTTGGTGGTTTTTCTGCTACAAGTGCCCTTCACAGGTTTTTGGAGACACGTGGAAAGGCTGCTGGGTCTGTAATATCTGACACCGTTGAAAAGTCTTTCCCAAACAAAAGTACTCGTTCAATGGATATCCCCAAATTTCAGGCCTCCACGAGGCTTGTCAAGGAGGCAAGAAACGAGATACACAAGGCACATCTTAGAGATGACGAGAAGCGGAGGACGGCAAACCTGCCACCCTCGCCTACAAATATCCCGGCCGATCTTCAGCCGTGTTCGTTCCTCATTTCGTCAAAGTTTCTACAACAAAGAAGCTTGCTGAAGCAGATAGAAAAAATATATCCAAACGCTGAGATGGTGTACCGAGACTACATTCTACCGCACTCGCCGGCCAAAGATGCCGACATGATTCTTTCACCTTCCACCGGTCTGATTCTTACTTCTTTGCAACAGATCAAGCAGCGAGCTCTTCCGGGGCAAATAGAACGGTCACAGATCAAGGAGTGTTTGGCTACTCTCCAGTTACGATACGAGAGATTGATTGTTCTGATCAGCGAGGGACTCAGTCGTGAATCGGAAAAACTGGGGTCAAGCCGTCCAGAGGACCCACGCGATAGTGAAGCATTGAGAGCGATTGAGAAATTTACTTCTAATTTGGAGGGCGATGTGCTAGTACAGTACGTTCCTGGAGGTGAGAAGGCCCTCGCGCGTGCCACGGTGACAGAAATGGGAAAATACGGCTTGCCGTACGGCTCAGCAGACATTGGTGACATTAAGCCCATAGCGCAGGAAACAACAGTAAGTATTACAGCCATACTGAGAAGCATCTCATCTTATTGTTTGTTAATAGTATGAGGTTTTCCTGCGTCGGGCAGGTCTCAATCCATTCGCGGCTCAGGTCATTGTCGCATTGCTGAAGAAGCCGATAACGCTCGAAATTCCACTCTACTCCAGCTCACCCTTTGCAGTCGAGCCAAAGCACATAGTTGCAACTAGACTCTCTCGCTTTCTGATTATGAGCAAAGATGAGCGAGTCCATTTGTTTCAGGCTCTGATGGGTGGAAGTCGGGTATTGAAGAGGGTCAGTGATAGACTGGACCAGGAATGGATCAGCGCTGCACACGGCTTTAGAATGTGAGATAACCCTATTCTACGGGACCTTGCAAAGGCATTGCCAGAATTATAGTTGCAGATTCCAGCATAGCAAGATTTTTGTGGGTGTAAGTTAGCAATGGGCGTTGCACATGTCAGGTGATGTAAGGCCATGTGGGGCCAAGCTTGGGCCGGCCATGACGCAAAACACACAACATGTCAAAGGTGCTCGTCAACATGACTTTTCTCATGCACAAAGCTACGCTCAGCTTGTAGCCTTACGGCCACCCAAGAGAGCCCTGGTGTTTGATCGCATCTTACACAGTATTCACAATGTCCTCTCCCGTAGGCATAATAATATCCGGCCGCCCTGTCATTACCGAGCCTTCGTCCATCATCTCGCCCACGCAATCGGCATTTCAGATTCCCTCGCAGCCTTCCTTCTCCCACATTGTTGTCTTCCTCCTGCCTGGAGTTACACTTCCAGACGGCACTGCTGCTGCCGTATACGCCCAACTGCCCGGCACAACCGAATTTAAACTACTCGGCGCAATCGCCAACGAAAAGCCCAGTGCCATCTTCAAAGTGAATACCAAAGCGGGGAGTTTAGGTAGCGACGAATCTATGATCGACGAGGGAGTATCTATGGGTGCATCAAACGGAAACACTACACCGCTGGCCCTTGGAATAAGCGTTGAGCCTGCGCAACAAGTCGCCGCTGCTATAGAGCAAAACAAAGCGCAGGCTGCTGCAGGGTCGCAACCAACAGGAGCAGTTCAGGGAAATGAGTTGGTGCTTAGAGGTCAGAGAAGCGTCGAGACAAAGGTGCTCGCACAGAGAATCATCAAAAACTGCTACGACTTTTTGACGAGCTGGGGTACGGGGGATACAGTACCGCTCAAGGCTTTCCAGGCGTGGTGGACCAAGTTTGAAGGAAAAATTGAGAGAGACCCAGGGTTTTTGGAGAGAGGTGACGGAGGTTGAATTTTTGGAGACACCAAAAGAATGCCACGGACATGGCTATACGGCCAATGAATGCTATGAACATACGACATACCCATCCATATACGAAACACTATCCCAGCCGACCTACCAAGCCTCTTCAAAACGCTTTATTTACACCATCCCAATCTGGCTCAGCAAGCCACGCCGTATACATTGCATGAGGCCATGAAACCTTGGGCGCCTTCCTAGGGTCCATCTTTGCCTGCTCAACAACTGCATCTCCAAGTACCTTCTCGATGCCTACTCGCTCGTGCTGCGCTTCCAGCCTCTCTCTCATTGCTTCGAGCGTGCTCCATTCCGTAACATCCCTTCGAAAGTCTGTGATTACAGCTATGCGCACGATTCTTGAGAGCTCGCTGATCCGCTCTGCAATGCCAGGAGATGTGTGGCATGCAATGGCGGTCCACACACAGTGCGCATCTTCTTTACTAACACCGAAATGCGAGAGGTGCTTGACTGCTGCATCCGCGCCTTCGACTTCGAATCGCTGTGGGCCATTGTATTCTTGCGTCGTGCCAATATCGTGGAGGAGGCATGCGGTAAACAGTAGGTCACGCTGGTGCGGATCCGTGAAGTACTTTGAACTATCGTGTTTGGCTATTTCGTCTGCGTACTTGAATACCCTGATGCTGTGATTGAGGATGGATGGATGCAGAATGCTTGCAGCATGTGTGTATGCAGCTTTCGATATCGGTGTATCCAGGGAGGCCTCAAGGGGATAGTGATCGGGTGCACCACCAACGTCTCGAACGGCGGCACTGGCAAGGTCTGAAGGTGGGCACATGCTTTGCTATGGTGATTGAAAGGGACTCTGACTGTGAAACAAAAACTGTGGTATGCAAAAGACTCCTCTTGAGGGCTCGCCTACACACGAAATTTCTGTTATACAACACTTGGTGCGCCCTGTTGTCATCAAATTCCTGTTATGGCAAAGCGTAGACAAGCGGGGATGGTTGCGACAAGTAATCTTTCGCAACATGGCGGCGGATGAGTTTGATCGATATGGCTGGTACACAATGGTCTACTGTCTATGTAAAGTTTCATTATGCATATAATTCCATGGGTTCTATTTGGCGTGCCGATCAGTGATCGCATCGAGCTCAATGGTCGAGCGGTTCGGGCATTTCTTCGGCGCGGGACCGATGCCGGCACCTTGCCGGTTCCACACTTGTCACTACAACAGCACAGCAGAACATAAGCCGACGCATGGAAAACGAGGCTGCAACTATGGAGTAACATCAATGACTAACCACTCCGGGGAACCAGTTTGCAGACTCTGCATATCTGTGCTTGGCGTTTTTTCCTTGAGATGTTCGAGCAACCGGAGAAAACGGATCGTGGTAGTACTCAGATCCTACGTAAGTACTGATAAGCGCAAAGGCACCAAGACTAGTCCGGTCAATCCGCACAGCCAAGCCCTTTGTACATAATGACGACTCGTGGTATTACCTTTCAGCACTCGATGGGGAAGTATTGACGGGACATGATAACGGAACCTTGCCTCTTAGCTTAACATGGCTTGAGATAAGCCTGCCGTCCAGATAGGCGTGTCGTGGGTTGGCCGACGACGGATGTGACAAATGGGTGTGTTGCAACGATAATGTGTAAGAGTATATAAGTCGTCTTAACAAAGCTGAGTTAGAGTACCCAGAAATCATAGTCATAGCTGCTACTTGGTTGGCAAGATGAAGGTCTTTGCGCAACTCGTTCCATTGCTTACGTCTTTGGCTGTTGCATCGCCCGTCGATATTACTCGATCACAGCTGCACAGGCTATTCGTTCGCCAGGACATCCAGACACCAATCAATGCCTCTCTCCCAAATGTCACAATATTCGCGACTGGAGGCACAATCGCCTCGCAAGGTAGCACAAATACACAAACAACTGGCTACTCAATTGGCCTCGGAGTCCAACAACTAGTCGATGCGGTGCCGGAACTGCTCAACATCTCCAACATTGCCGGATACCAGGCCTCCAACGTACCTTCTGGAGATATCAACGAAACAATCAGCTTGTACCTCGCACACATGATCAATGAAGAGCTAGCAAAAGACCACATTTCCGGCGTCGTCGTCACCCACGGCACCGACACCCTCGAGGAAACCGCCTTCTTCCTCGAAAGCACCATCAACTCCACCAAGCCCGTCATCGTCGTCGGCGCCATGAGACCCGCCACCGCCCTCAGCGCCGACGGCCCACTGAACCTCTACCAAGCCGTCAAGCTCGCCGGCTCGCCCGCCGGACGCAACCGCGGCACCATGATTGTCCTCAACGACCGCATCGGCTCCGCCTTTTACACCACCAAAATGAACGCAAACTCGCTCGACACGTTTTACTCGACCGAAGCAGGCCAACTCGGCGTCTTCATCAATCAAGTGCCCTATTTCTTCTTCCACCCCTCGGAGCCCGTCGGCCGCGTCGTCTTCGACCTCTCCAACGTCACCGATCTGGTTCCCGTGCCCATCTTGTACGCCCACCAGGACATGCTGCTCGCGCTTTTCACCGCCTGCTACGACGCCGGCGCAAAGGGTATCGTGTATGCGGGTGTCGGCGCTGGAGGTGTCTCGAGCGCTGCAAGTGCAAGTGCAGAGGCGCTGTACAATGCTACTGGTATTCCCATTGTTGCTAGTCATAGGAGTCCAGATGGCATGGTTCCCCCGCCGAATGGAGATGACGATTTCACCATCCCCAGTGGGTTTTACAACCCCCAAAAGTCGAGGGTTTTGCTGCAGTTGGCCCTGACGTTGGGCTGGGGCGAAAAGCAGATTAGAGAATTATTCGCAAAGGGGTATCCCATGCCTTGAGATGGACTCAAGGATATTTTTTCCCCATACATGATTAGGTTTTTGGGGAAAAAAAATAAATATGATGTTTAGTAACGTCTTCTTGAAACATTATGGTATTTATTGAAATATGCTTGCAGTCATTCTGTTGATGTCAAGTCTATCATTTTTTTTTAAAAAAAACAAATAAGATTAATCATTTGTTCACACGATTCTGACTAGGAAAAGGAAAAACAGAAGTCAAGGTTCGTCGAAATCGTAGCTTACATGCGCAAAAACCCCAGTCGCTACCTATGACAAACCCCAAACAGCAAAAAAAGATAGGAGATGCCGACTACTGAACGATCTAAAAGCCTGACCAATGGTCGCAAGACGTATGAAAAACAGGTCTTGGAGATCCTCTAGAATACACAAACAAGCCATTAACAACGTTACGAAGCTAGAAACTAATGAGGGTCAGGCATGCAGTACCTTTTCTACGCCAAACAAACCTCGACGCCGCATTCCCCATTACACTCATAAGAAGCAAAAGAAGAAAATTCCTAGCCCATGAAAACGACCCCCCCCCCCCCCCCACTCTCACGTGTCTACATACCACTACCAACACTTCCCTGACTATTTTCCCTTCGCGGCCCGCCTTCCATGCCTTCAAAAGCACTACCGCGCCTCCCCAGATTGAACATACTTCCCTCGCTACCCTGTCTTCTTCCGGCTATGCCACTAGGCCCTCCAAACGTACTGCTCAACGTCCATCCTCCAGCGGCAGGACTTGCATCTCTAATGCTAATCGCTGGGGGTAAGCCTAGACTTGGAATCTTGTCTTCGCCTACGGGTAAGATTCGTGGTGAAGGCGAAGGGGCGTGGCGCAGTCCTTCGGCGTAAAAGGAAGAGAGAAGAGAGATGTTGGAGCAGAATGCTTCTACTTCATCCTTGACTTGTTCGGGGGTTAGCGAGGTTACAGCTGCGAGGTGCGGCGTGGTGGCTGTAGATGATCTCTGTTCGTGGCTGGTGAGTGCGGTGTGTAAGAGGCTAGCATCCTGGACTGGTCGAGCCAAGGGGCTGGAAAAGGGACTACGATGCGGATTGCTACGCTCTGCTGCTGGTGTCGAGGGCATGCGACTGCTTTGGCTACCGTCCATTGTCGCTTTTTTGTGCTCATAAGGATCGACATGGCGGATTCTACTGTTGTCTTTGGCACGATTGTGTGCGAGGCGATTCGCTAGCAGCAGAAAGTTTCCTTCGTCAGTGATCTGAGCGAGCAGTCCTCCACTGCGATGAATGAACTGCGTATACTTGTAGTCTGGGTTACCCCAGGAATATGTTACTTCCACGTCTGGTGGAAATGCACTAGCAGCCTCCATGTCAAGAACAAAGTTCAACCTCCGTAACAGAGCTTTGTGATACACAAATTTGTCTGTCCTAGAGTATTGAGGAGAGAAGCTAGTTGAGTCCCACATGTTCTCTGGCTGGGATTTAGGGGGCTGTAGCGCGAGCTTGACCAGATATGGAGACCGGAAGGGGTGATGGTCAACAATGTTTGCTACCTCGGCGATAGGTACCTCGACGAGTTTTAGGCCGTACTTTTCTACGCTTGTAGCCCAGGTAACAATTGCATCTTCTATAAGCTTTGCCGTTACGTTCATCCAATCGATACGGATGTGGTAACAATTGTCAGGATTATGTAGACGATCATAGTGTAGTGAGATAATCTCGGGGCGGTACGAACGCTTCCTAGGATCCACATCGTAGCGCATAACGCGGGACAGAATGACTTTTCTTTTAGGAGGCTCAGCGCGTGTTGGAGTTTTCTCGCCTTCTTTAGAAGAGTCAGAGTTTGTAGATGATGAATCCCCCGTACTAGGCCGTGACTTGATGCTCTTTGAGATCAAAGGCGATGTCCGTGGCGCCTCTGAGAGCGGCGTAGAAGGAACCGACTTGTCTGTCTTTCGCATGCCAAACCATCCGGTTCGCGACTCGACTCGAGGAGCTCGATATTCTGCCGCAATCTGGAAGAAGAAGTTACCATCACGGAATGGATGTCTTCGCTGCACATGCTGAATCAGGCCCTTGTGCATGAGCTCGTTTCCGAAATCGACTGCTTCATCTCTGGTTTCAATGTCCTTGAAGTTCGAAAGGAGCCAGTTGGTTAGGTCAAAGCCTAAGAAGCAATTGTAGTGCAGTTTCAAGTGCCATCGGCGATCAAGCATCTGAATGCCTTTCTCACCTTGCAAGTCTTCTGCAAGCTTCCTGATATCAATGTTCGATGTATGGTACTTCTCAGAGTCTGGGAAGACAGAGGTCTGAAACTCGCTGTCCGTGTCTTCAAGTAAAGAGTTACCCAGTCCTGCCGCTACGACTGCCGACGGATCGCGAGTATGGTATTCAATTGCAAGGGGATTTGGGTCTTTTTGTTTCGAAGCGTAAGAAGGCTGGGAATAGCGCTCTTCTGAAGATATGAAACGGAATTTTTGCCACAGCTGCGTTAGCTTTCGAATCCCCTCTAAACGTATCTCCTCCTCGGAGTCTTCAGTAAGCATTGGAAGCGGCCGTCTATGCACTGCCGGTATCTCAACAGGAATCAAGACGAAGCGCGCTCTCCAAAAGCGTAGAATTTCAGAAAACTCATCATGGTAGCCAGCTAAGAATGTATCGATGATGTTCCAATTGTACTCCCTTCGCGGTGGCCGTAGGATTACGTCCCTGGGGTCATAAGTGTCTTCAAAAGCCGTACGGATGTAGGGTCGATACGGGAAAGGCTTGTCGACGCCGGCGGAGGATTCCAGAGCTGTCGTGGGCTTCCGGTTGTAACGCCTTACCTCAACTTCTCCACCTGCCACGCAAACCAGTTGATGGATGCTATTTCCCACGCTCATAAAAACGGTGTCTCCATCGTTTGACATGTATTCAGGTGCTAAGATACTAGCGAGGGTTTTCTCTTGTCGACCTGAAAACTCTGCAACAGAAGAGCCCACAACAATCTGAAATCCGTGAGAAAGACGAAAAGCAATGAGCTCCTTTATGAGTGACTCCCTGCTTTTCGGAGCCTCCAGTATATCATCATCTTCGTTTTGTGTGATCTTGTACGGGCTCTCATTGTATTCCGATGCCACTTGTTCGACAGTAGGGAACCACTCATGAGTCAAAGGGACAGCGGCGGGTGAGCACAACGACCTCCATTTCACAGTACCGGTTCTTAGCGTTCTGGGGAAGACGTGATGCCAGCGTCGATATTGATTTTTGGAGTTGATGTTATTCTTTTTTGGATTACAAGGATTGACCAAGACTGCCCAGGGCGAGATGGCACTTGTAGGAGACAGGGTCCTTGGAACATCTCTAGCACCTCCGCTAGAAGACAGATCTGGTTTCGGCCCAACATGCTCCCCCGTCCCGCGAGCACCCGCAAGAAGGAATGTGGACCCGGGATCTCGAACGGCTGAGCTAGATTGGGAAGGAATAGATGTTTTGTTAAATCCCATACCTCTGACAGTCTCAATAGAACGGCTAGCCCGGTCAGAAGCGAGCGATTCAGCTGATATAGGGCCAGCGCGCGATGCAGGCTTGATGGCAATAGGTTGAGAAGCTTTCTCCGTAGAAGTGTGGCGAGTGCTAGCCAACCTTTCGGCAATGACCCCCTTTTGGTTATTCTCAACGGTCAGCATGGCAGGTTTGACCTTGCCTTGGCTGATATCGATAGTAGCGTCTCCGAGGGTTGGTTTAGCTGGCGCTGCTTTTCCACCAAAGCTCATCTGTCTTAAAAACCAATTGGAAGGTCTGCTCTTGATCTCAGCCTTGGTTGAAGTGGACGTTGCCGCGCCAGTGAGAGGAGGGAGACCGGCTCGCCTCGAAGGAGACACTCCTCGGCTGGGTGCAGGAGAGTGCTTTGGGGTGGCCTGTACGGAAGGACGATGGCTTTGAGAATCCTCAGAATCTCCTCTTTTGTGCGATACTGGACGCCCCATACTGACACTGCCTCTTGCTAAGTTCTTTTGCCGTTGTAGGATGTCAGCACGTGGCATGCCTTCGACTTTGTGATCAGACATGCGATAGACAGTACCACGGGGAGAATGGCTCTCAACCTCTTTTGTCTTCTCGCGCATAAGCTGTGGGAAGTTGTTTTCAGGTGGCGGACGGGCGGTTTTAGGAATCGACGGACCGACACTACGGAATGAAGAAGAAAGTTGAAAACTCCTGGATAGTTTGGGCGAGCCACTGGATAGCTGGTCGCTCAGTCTTCTTTGATGTGTTCGATACTCTGATACAGGGCGTCTTTCCATGATTGGAGAGAACACGCCATTGTCATATGCTTCCATCCAGTTCTTGTATGCAGTTCTGCCTTCGTCTAATTGGTCATTCCCATACTCTTTATCCCCTCTTGAAGAGTAAGAGCCTGCTCCAGTAGTCGAGCGTTTGACTACAGCGACGGTTTTCTGGTCATCCTCGTCTCGGTCGAACGATTCACGCAGATGATGTGGGTACATTGGGTCTTCTTCCAGATACGGAATAGCAACGTCTCCCATTTCATTCTCCATAACACCCATCATTTGAAGTTCGAAAAGACGACATCTGAGGGAAAAGATGCGACCTTTTTTTCGAGACTTCTTCACAATTTTGTCGGCTTTCCGAGGTTTTGTAAGCTCCAAGATCTCTTCAGAAGTGCCGGACCAGAAAGAGATATCTACCCAATATGGCATTGCGAATCTCCAGTTGTCTGTAGCTTCTACGGGGTCGTCTATCGGTATGTGCTGAATGGTGGAGGCATGAGAAACGGAACCGAAAATAGGCTGACTTTGGCGGGGAGTTTTGTCCTCTTCAGTCCGCGATATCCCTACAGGTGCATGGTGTTTCTCTTGCTCAGCCTTCAAGTCGGAAATCGAGCGAGGAGTTTGATACTTGAAAAGAGGTACGGAATGAAGTGGCATTGGTGAGAGACATACCAAGTCAATACCGATGCCTGATCCAATAAGTGTATCTGTGGTCAATTTGAGCATGTTGTAGTCCACCTCGAAAACACCTGTTCCAGGGCTGACGACTATGACCGAGATGCCTGTTCGAACGAGGTCGCGATCAATGTAATCTTTGGAAAACTGAGCTGCGGCTAGGTTGATAGCTTCAAGAATGTTGCCTTGACTTGCAGACGATGGTCTTCCAGCGACGACGAATTCAGACATTGGATCATCCATACCTGCATCGTCTTTGTTCGCGACTTGCTTTACTGGTTTGCGCACAAGAGACACTTCGCGAAGGAACATTCTAAACTCTTTCTTGAGCTGATACAAGATGTTGATCCAGTCACCACTAGCCATGTCGCTCACAACGACCCGATAGTAATCTCTGAAAGTGCCCGAATGCGAATCAAAGTGTGTGTCACTTGTCGCTCCCTCAAGATGATCAGCTACTAATTCGCCGTCGTATTGCATTCGAGTAAAGAGGATGATGGTGACAAGATGCCGCGCGTTGATTCTCAACCATCTTTTAAAAAGATCCGGAAGGAAGCCGCTGACGACTTTGTTAAACATGATCTCTCCAGCGCCTTCGGTATCAAAGTCCCACATCTCTCGAGACATTTGGATGAATAGGGTGTAACGCGCCGACTCGCTACGAAATATGGGTTTCGATTTGGGCGAAAAATAGCCAGAATGGACAGACTGGCCATTGATGTAGATGTGCTTAATAGTAGCTTTGATGGTCCCCATGAACAGTAGCCTCTGGCCCCGGTAAACGGTGCGTTTGCTGAGCTCGGAGATTGCCATGCGCCACATATCTGCGCGTGCGAGGTACTCATCACGAAACACGATTTCTACATGATGGGCTTCATGCAGATCTTCATCAGCCTCGGTCACCACAACTTGCATCCTATTGCGGAATCCGAATACCTTGGCAATACGCTCGGATATAGAGACCTTGGCGAGGTCAGTTATGCCTCATTCCAATATCAGATGTCACATACCTGCAGGTTCGGATACTTTGACTTCAAGTCCGGAGAAAGAGGTTTCGGGACAAACACATAAGCTTTGTCAGCATCGACGTCGCGGCCACCGGGAATAGTCGATCCATTCTCATCGAGGGTTATCGTGTTTGGATCTCGAAGATGTCTCCTGGGATGGCCATGATTGTGACCATCTCTAGAAGATGCATCGTGTTTGTGTTGAGCGCTGTCATGTTGTGCGCTCTTCGGTCCTGCATGGAAATTGCGAATGGCGTTGTCTTCCTGTATGGCTACTATCTGAAGTAAGGAACCAGCACCGGTAGGGACCTCGGGAAATTTCTCGCTGTTAAACACGATTTCATCTCTTGAGAAGTTGTCGTCATGCGTCCATAGGGTGCACACTTTCTGCACTCGGGCCTGTTGCGGATGTGATGCGGACTTCGACATGGTTCTTAATGATGTTGGGGAGGGTGGCTCTAGCTTTGTGCTGGCTCACGAACATTTGTATTTTACTCATCCATACATGCTGAACGTGCTTCCTTCCATTATTTGGGATAATAAGTAATGACCAATGGCTCAAGAGCGATATCGTAACTAAAGATGACGGTGTGATGGTCGTGTCGCGTCGCGGCCTGCGACGTACTGTAAGAAAATGCCAAGGCGCTACAATCTCTTTACGTAAGCCCCGATAACGCGCTATGCAAAAGAGGCGACTTGACTCTACTTGGATCATACTCTATTCATGAATTGTCTATGCTAGCATGCGAGTGATGTATCGTAGTAAACACTTGCAGGGTGAAATGGTTAACGGGACAGGCGCTGGATCGAAGGGGAATGTCAGGTACGAAGAGAACGGTTTTCAGGCATAATTTACAAGCAACGGGTGTATGGTCTGCAGTGCATTTGTTTCTATCGAACACAGGCATGATTAAACCTTCTCAACCCTTGCCCTCATCTCTCCTAAATCTTCACCCTCAACACTGTCCTGCTTCTCTTTGACAAACTTTTCGAGCGCCCCATCAATCTCGTCTGTTCCATCAACAAAATCAAGCCATCCCTTCAAACCGTCTTTTTCCAGGGCTCTGACTATCACCTCGGCAACCGTCGCACGACTGACCTTTTCTCCAACTCCAATTCTGCCCATCTTTACCTTACCAGCTGGCTCCTCAGTCAACGTACCAGGCCTCAAACTGATACCGCAGAAGCGCTCGTTAGCTGGCACGCCCTCCTTTTCTTCTTTTGCTAAACGATCATTGGATAGGACGGTAAGAACCTCATCAGCTGCAACTTTGGCTTTATAATAGTTCGGTAGGATCTCGTTATTGACTTTTTGTGCAGAATCCCAGTCCTCGTCGCTCCACCAGGGTGCGCGGCCTCGGCGGGAGGAAAGGTAAGAAACATTGAGAAACTTTTTGACAGAAGGTGTATGAATGCTGGCTTTTGTAAAGGCAATGGCTGCGTCGCGGTCGATCGCGAAGGTCATTTCTGCGCCGCCTTTCCCTCCAGCGCCTGCTATGCAATCAGAATGTGTCCATATTCCTACAAAGTACCCGTTTCGTTGGAAACCTAGCCAGAGAATTCAAGGAGAAAGAAATATGAGCATACCAGCACTCCACACAACCCAATCAGGCTTCACCTGGTCTAATATAGTCTTTGCTTCTTTCTCATCCTGGACATCTGCAACGCTGCTGACAAGCACACTCAGCTTGCCTGGCTGGCCCTGACCCAGCTTCTCAATGGCGGGTTGCTGTGAAGCGGTACGAATCATGCTTGTCACATTACATGATTTCGCTAACAGAAGGGGCGTGAGAAGCTGAGCAACCTTGCCGTGGCCGCCGATTAAGAGGACGTTGTGTGTCATTATGGTTGGAGTTGCTAATAAATAATTGCTTAGATAGGATCACGAAAATGAGGGAAGAAGATGTACAGTATATCCAGAGTATCACAAGAAGAATTACTCCAGACGATGGAAGTCAATCAATGCTTGTATAAGGCGCCGGCACATCGATCGTTGCTGGATGCGGTGCTGATGCAATTGCCAAGATGACGTCGTGTGCGTCTTGACCTTCCGAATAAGCGCCGACAGACTTTGAATGCTTTGTAAAGAACACACCTTAACACCACCCATTCCGACTCCGATCAGCGATTTGCATTAGATCATCACGTGGCAAGAATAAAGCAGAACTTATGTAATATGAAATTTATTGTTTGAACTTTTTTGGGTCGTTTCGGGGCACATTGCAGGAGTATCAAATGTTTGGTGCCAGTGCTAAGCGGCTGTGAGAAGGAGGAAGAAGAAAAGAAACAACTGGTGGGCCGAGAAATTTTCTATGGATGGGTAACGCACAAGGAGAGCCTTGAATAACAGAATAGCCGGCGCAAAGACGACCGAGCAACATGAATAAGGGGATATGGGTATTTACGACATCGCCGGGCCCCTAGGGCCAAAAAAACGCCTGTGACGCCAATGAATGCTTGAAGTATATGCTGCTTGGAATAAAACAGTTATTACGCCCGACTCTCCTGGTTACAGAGAGGTTCGTGCGAGGTATATATGTATATGTATGGGGGATTGTGAGGGCGTAGGAGAGAATTAGGCCTTATGTGCCAGGGCCAGTTGGCTTGGATTGTTCGCCAGCATGACTGGAGAAAGGCCCTACGTTGAAATCGGGTGTTGTTTCTGTGTTCTGGCTGGGAGGACCGCGGTACTCACTCACGTCAGGAGCAAGGATGGGATCGGTCGATTTAGTGTCAGGGTGGACTTCGATGCCATCTTGAGCCTCGAGATCTTGCTTCGTGGTATTGCGGCTGAATTTGATGGAGTCGTTGTCACCACTGCCGCGGTCAATCGGTGACCAGCCCCCAATGCTGCCTGCAACGATACCAGCCATGACAGTTGCCGGACCAAAAGCGGAATTAGAACGAGACCTGGCGCGACGACGACTACTGGGAGTAGGTGGAGCATGAGAGCCGTCATCGGTTTGAGCGCCATTATTAGGAGTACCAGGTAGAGAGTGACTGGATCGTGATCGGGTAAAGATTTCCCTGGGATGTTGCACCTTAAACTTGATAGCACTCAGACGGCCGCCACGCACTTTTCTGAGGAAGGCAAGTTCATCGCGAACCTCCAGTAGTCCTTGGTTCCAATAGTAGTCGTCATCTGAAACAACAAGCTCGGGAGTTTGCTTGCGCCTGAAGGCGTCGGGAATGCATTTCCTGATAAGCTCATCAGGTATCAAGCGAACAATGACACCAACCGGTAGAGACAGGAAGCCCAACACTATTGAGTAGCCCCATTGAGGGCCGTTGAGTCGCGTAACCTTGAAAGCTTCGCCACCGACAAATATAATCATGGTCTGACCTCCAATCATGATGAGCAAAATGATGATGAAGAACCAGTTGTGGGTAATGCCTTCAAATACATTGAAGCGGTTGTCGAGGCGGCGGTTGTTGAGAGCGTTGAAAATTTGCATCCAGACAAAAGTGTTGAACACCAAAGCCGGCAATTGCTGCTGCTCACGTGGGCTATGGTAACTAAGCATAGATTCGCCGGCAAAGAAGAGAATAAAGGTAACAACCAGCTGGTAAATCGACTGCCCGATGATCATTTTCCACATGCGCAACGTGATCAAAGGTGCGGATTTAGGGTCAGGCTTGCGGTCAAGAAGACTGCGAGTGGGAGGATCAGTTGCGAGCGCCAGAGCAGCAAAGGTGTCCATGATGAGATTGACCCAGAGCAGTTGGACAGCAGTCAGTACAGATTGCTGGTCACTACTAGAAACAGCGGAGACGAAGGTAAGAAGTACAGCCGTGATGTTGACTGTAATCTGAAACTGCAAGAACTTCTTGACAGCGTCATTGACAGCACGACCCCAAAGCAGCGCCTTTACGATGGAAGCAAAGTTGTCGTCCATGAGAATGATGGCAGAAGCTTCTTTCGCAACCTCGGTACCCGCAATTCCCATGGAGAAACCGACGTCGGCAGTCTTGAGCGCGGGTGCATCGTTGGTTCCGTCGCCAGTGACAGCTACTGTCTCACCGAGCTCTTTGAGGCGCTTGACAAGCTTGCGCTTGTCGTCTGGGCTGGATCGGGCAAGAACACAGAGCTTGGGAATGACGGCATCCATGTCACGCTTTGACAGTTTACGGAAAGTAGGGCCCTCCATGACAACACCACCAGGGACCAGGATTCCACAATCTTCGGCAATGGCCTTGGCAGTCAAAACATTGTCACCGGTGACCATACGAACATAAACACCAGCATGCTGACAGTCCTTTACAGCCTCGCGAACGTTGTCTCGCAGAGGATCCTGGATACCGACGATAGCCAGAAAGATCATTTTCTTGGCTACATCCTTGAAGACAGCCTGGGTGGGGTCATCCTCATTCTTGGATGATTCGGCGGGCGGCCAGCTCTCGAAATCGCGGTAAATGAGGCCGATGGTTCGTAAAGAACGGGATGCGTAAGTTGTAATGATGTGCTCGAGAGCTTCACGGTTGTCGGCAGTCATGGGAGCCTCGATAAGTTCTTTGTTGGCATCGGTAACGATCTTGTCGCACATTGCGAGCAAAATCTCGGAAGCACCCTTGACATACATACGGTAGCGACCATCGCTTAGTTTGGCGACGGCGCCGGAGCACTTGATTGCGGAGTCGAAGGGGATCACCTGGACGATGTTGGCGTTGGCGCGCTCCTGGGCAACATTGCCCAATCCCAGGTAATCGCGTGCGAATCCGAGCAAGGCTGTCTCAGTTTTAGAGCCGATGAAAGGATCAGGACCTCCAGTCTCGCCTTCGAACGCGGTCGTGTTCTGGACAATGGATTGCAGAAGAAGGTCCTTGACATCGCGGTTCAGAGTCTCGACGAATTCCGTGGCGGAGACATCGTTGGGATTCTCAACAGGAGACTGGGATACATCCTTGCCCTTGGCTCCATCGTCAATCGGGGACACGGAGGATGCTTTCAGTTTGGAGTCGCCAAAGCGGAGAGCAGTCCCGAGTGAGCCAGTCACAACAGTCATCTTGTTCTGAGTGAGCGTACCAGTCTTGTCAGAGCAAATGGTAGTGGCATTGCCCATGGTCTCGCAAGATCGGAGGAGGCGGACCAGATTGTTGTCCTTGAGCATACGCGTCGTGGCGAAAGCCAATGCAAGGGTAACAGCCAGAGGAAGACCCTCAGGCACAGCAACGACAATAACCGTGATGGCGACGATGAGAATGTTGAGGAAGTTCTGACCCTTCTCGGCCGACGTGTCGTCGCTGCCCTTGAGCCTGACCAAGAACTCAATGAACAACACGACGAAAAGCAACAAAGCCGCAGCTCCACCTAGCTTGGCGATGTATGTTGCGAGTACGTTGAGCTTATTTTGGAGTGGTGTGACTTCGCTGTCTTCGCGAAGAGACATCATAGTCTTGCCGTAGCTGGAGTGTACACCTGTAGCCGTGACCATGAACGTACCTACACCCTCTGAGACCTTTGCACCGGAGAGAATGAATGGATCGACCTTCTTGAGGTTGTCATGTCGTTCAATGGCTTTGTAAGCCTCGTCACCAGACATCTTCTTGAGCAAGTCAGATTCTCCAGTGGCCGAAGACTCATCACATTTAATTCCATGACCTTGGATAAGGATACCGTCGACGGGGATCATGTCACCAGGCTCTAGATTGACAACATCTCCGACAAAGATGTCGTAGACGGAGATTTCGCGAGTGGTTCCAGAGCGAATGACCTTGATGGTTCGGTCTTCCTTCTTGCGGTTAAGTTTGACGAACTGACGCTCCTTTTGCCAGTCATTGGCAGCGCCAACTACGACGACAATTACAATGGCAACAATAATGGCAACACCCTCAATCCACTCTACAGCTGGTTCGCCTGGCTCGTGCTCGACACCAAAAGTTTGGTATAGACCGAGAGCAAGTGAAATGACAGCGGCGCACGTCAACAAAATGAGAACTTTGTCGTTGTAGGCCATCCACGCGAGCTGAAAAATGTTTTTAGGTTTCCTGACCGGAAGTCTGTTGTCACTAAAGACGCGCTTTCGGTCCGCGAAAGCATTCTCCTTGGAGCCGGTGGGTGCGCTGTCGGTATGCGCAGCAGCATTCGGTGATGACTTTTGCGCAGTCTCGGTAGTACTTGGTGTCGTTGCTTCTTCAAATGTGACCACACCGTCCAAGTGCTGCTCGTCAATGCTTAGTCCGGCCTTTCGGTCGGTCCGAAGACCCTTTTCCAAGCCGTCAAGGCCTCCGAGAGCATGGAAGGCTGATAACTGAGGGCTGATTAGCACGATGAGGAGGTTGTTCAGAGACAACGACTTACGCTCTTGGGGTTGTAGAGCTTGGCCAGCTGGCCGGGCGAGAAGGCAAACTTGTTGTTTTCAACCACAAAGTCTGCCTCTGTGCCGGGATCTGGTTTCAGAGCATCCTGGTCATTCAAGACTTCGGTGGGTGCTAGCTCTCCCTTGAAGGCATCGCCTTGTGAAGAGGCGACATATGTGCCTGAACTGTTAGATTCACCATTGTCGGTAGCCGAATCCATAGAGTTGCCCCTTGAGCGAGCGCCTGGAACATTGAGTAGGCCAGCATTGCTGGTCCACGTTGCAACGGGCGAGCTGACATTGTGGGGGCTCGTGGGCCTGCTTTCTCTGCTCTCAAAGGAATTGGCGCCGCGCAGCTCCTGCGAGGACGATGTTTGCTGGGTAGGCGATGGGTTGTCAGAGGTTTGGTTGAGTGAGGATCTGTGGCTGCCGTCCTGGATGTCGGCCAGAGGCACGGGATTGCTCATGTTGGCGTCACTGGCAGCAGACGTGTCGATGGTGATGGTTGGGGCCCGTGGTCTTGAAGGACCGCCGTGTGCCTGTTGGCTCGCCATAGCAACAGGCTGTGCGGCGCAAGGCTGCAGTGGAGCGAGGCGCTGGGCAGGGCGGTAGGCTGTGCAAGCAGGCAGGGAAGCGATGGATGTAAGCCGTAAGGATGTCAGGTGTATGTTTCCGGTGAACTTGCTAGACTATGAGGAATAGTGCATGCGGGAGGAGCATGCAGGCTATAAAGGGCGTGGCCAGAGGCGAGAGTAGGCTGTGGTTGAAGAGTGAAGCAGACGACAGCAAAGAAACGGGTACAAAGAGCGTAAGTGGTCCTGGGTGGAGGCAAGAGCCAGTGGGTGAGGCCCAGCGACTAGGATCTGGTACCAACGGCTTTGTTAGCACCTGGTGGCCGTGGTGGAAGGCGTGGTGCGCGGCCAGGGCGATGGTGTGCTTACGTGACGGGCCCAGATGGCTGGTAGAGGCGATGGATTAGCGGAGGATGGTGGAGTGAGTGAGTGAGCGAGTAAGTGATTGCTTGATTGCTTGATCGATTGATTGATTCGGTTTGGTGGCTTCACAGAAGTTGGCTGGCGGATGGCGAGAGGGGGGCTATGTCAACGGGGGGTCGCGCGCGTCCATTCGGGCGTAGATTGTGGCTATGCTGTGTGGGAAGGTGGTGAAGGGCGAGTTGTGGGTGGCAACCAAGGCACTCAAGGCGAGGACCACGGACGGGGCAGAAAAAAAGAGCGGAAAGGCAAGAGTTTCTTGCTTCGCGAGCAAAGAAAACAGGCCAGGCAGACGAGGCGCATTAAGGACTTGCCTGAGGCGTGTTTTCGTCGAAGCTCAACCGCCCAAGGATTGGCATGCAACCAAGACAGACACAGCCCCATCTAGCGTCGTCTTGCTCGCACGCGCACGGACTCCCGCCAAGTCCGTCGCTGCAAGCGGGCCAGCGCCCATGGCCACCCGGCAACACAGCGACACGACTGCAGCCAAACGACACCACGTCACTGGCTGTTCCGCCTGTCCTTGCATGCTGCTGCTGTGCTGGCTGCGTGTCGGTACATATACTCATACATATAACTAACTTAGTACTTACATGTATAACTATCCAAGTACATACATGCTGCTGACTCATTCACTCTTACCCCAGCCAGGCGGGCCGGGATACCACTTGCTTACTTACTGAACTGTTGTTGTTGTTATTATTATTAGTTATTATGATGGTGATGATTACTTGCTGACTTTTGCACAATAGAGTGACTACATATACCCACCCGTACTAGCATCTACTTACGTAGTGCTGCACTTCCTCCATGTTCACAAGACGCGGCCGCTGCCCCCCCCCTCCCCCATCGCACCATTCGCCCCATCGCCGTCAGTGCGTCATCTTGCCGTCGTCTCCTTTTTCCTCGCCTGGCCCATGCCTCTCCACCTGCATCGCTCTCCACAAGCATTCGTTTTGCTCCGAATTGCTCATCTCTCCACGACTATTGCCGCAACCGCCGCCTAGCCGCCTTCTCAGCCCTGGCCGCACGCCTGGCCAACAACAGAGCCTCCGCTCGTGTCCCCGGCTTTGTTGGCCCGCAGCCCTCGCGTTCCTGAAGATCCAAAGGCGAGTGTGGGTGCGTAGGGGAGAGGCCAATTTCCGAGCAGCCAAGAGCCGAAAACCTTGGCCGCTGCCAGTCCATCTCCCGCCCATCGAGCCAGCGCCGACGTCCTGGCAGTCGAGCGTCACAGACTCCGCTTCTCCATACCCGTAGCGCTTGAGTATATTCCAGCCCTCAATATGCGCCTTGCCTCTTCCAGTCCGTCGGCCCTGCTTTCCCTCGCCCTCGACAGATGCCCAATCTGCGCGTGATGTGATGGCGTCCACTACCTGCAATAATGACTCGCACGGTAGTTTGACCAAATACTGCAGTTTTGCATACTTACCTAGTACACACTTGATACGGATGCCAGTCAAACGTTGGCACAAGCCACGAGCCCCCAGGCTGTCACGAAGCAGACTAGCCCTACGCACTCATGCCAATTATACACATGTACACATCCAAGTACATACTCACGTACATAGGAGATGCAAAGCCAAGAAGAGCGCAAGTGTTGTTCAGGTACATCCATGATGCATGCATACAACTACGAAACCTAAGCTTCTTACACCCGTCCCTGGAGGCTTGCTGAACATAAGATCTTGACGTGCTTCGCAAGTTCACATGCCGACTGCCCCGGCTCTTGGCACCACCAGCCCAACCAGTCCAATGCCTGCAATAGCAACACGTCGGAAACCGCGATCCCTGGTTTCAGGCATGGACGCGAGAAATCAGCAGGCCATGTATTTGTCTAAAATGGTACGCTATTTCAGTGAGACCAAGGCATTTGGGTCCATGTGTAAGTACATACATACATAAACCTACTTTTGCTCTCAACGCACACCGGGACTAGGAAACGGTCGACTGGCGCCTATTAAGCGCTGTTGCCGTGGTTCAGCCAATCAGCATGCGCGCATACCAAAAGAGACCATTTGTTGCCCAACCACCATCCTTGCCCCACCTGCCCAAAGGATATGCCCTATCGGCCTATCTACAAGTAGTACATAGTATTACTTGTATATACATATGTAGCTTGAAAAGAAACCCGTCTTCTTAGTGTATATATACGCCTGGGCCAAGGTCAACCACCAAATGACGTTTCTGTCATTGAAGTCTCTCTGTCGACCCGGACATGGTATATTCTTCATTCTTTACATCTTGTTTGGACCCCACAAAGTTTTCAGTTGTAGCACTGGGCCCTCTGGCCCATCACAGCCGTTGCAATCGCGTTGTACCTGCATCTCGGCCCCGGATCTTCATGGCTTGCCCAGATAGACATGTCCTGCAAGTAAGCGCCTGGCGGCTTACCCGTCAACGGCCATCTCAATCAACATGACTGATGACGTCAACCTCCCAACAATGGCTGCTACAACATACGCATTTACGAAAAGAACGATTGCCAAGAGAACATGTCAGCATCCAATCACATACAATGCAAAAACCAACATCAAACTGAGATATGCAGTCGTGCAAATGCACCCCCCTCATTAGCTAGTGCTAACAGGCCCAAGTATGCTCATCTAGCCAAGCAACGCGTTTGCCAAGTCGTCTTGCATTCCGCTTGTGACTGCATACGCCTCTCAAACGAGTGTAGTGTACATGCATATGTAGTGTGGATGCACACCACTTGTTGTTCTACGCCAGTCGCGCCGCATCACTATCCTTGCCGTGATTTCTGCGCAGAATTCTGCCTCTCAAGTGACCACGGAGCTTGAAACCTGAGTCCTCGCCGGCATCTCGCCATCATGCGCAAATCATATGTTTGCAAACTTTATCCAGACGACGTGAAACGTCATCGTACCCCAACCCGCCAAGCACATGGCAGAAACAGAAACAAGATGCTCTCATGGCCAAGACGCTCGTCCCCCGCTTGATGTTCTCAGGAGTCGTTCTCGTACCGACCGAACCACACCAGGACTTGCATATTCGGTCACCAGTCTGAACCCGGTTAGCCCCATGCCTGGCTTTGCACTGCCCGCCATCTCGCCCCTCGACCAATACTACCCAAGCCTATCAAGCGTCACCAAACCATCATTTTGGCCATAGTCGATTACCATCAGCTTTCATCATCATTGGGCGCTTCCACTGCCCGCCTCTAACCGTCGCTGCTCGAATTAATTGGCGTACCGGCTGTTGTGTATCTGCACCAGTATGCCCAAGGGCAAAGACCGCAGTCCGTCACCTTTGGGACTAGTAGATCGTCGGTTTTTCAATAGTGTTCAATACATATACTTGCCGCAGAGCTGCTTCTTTCCATTCGCCCTAGCACCCATGATAATGCTTACTTGAAATGGAATCATTGTTGCCATATCCACTCACTACATCTTGAATAGGTAATGCAGCTCGATATCCCTTGTCCTCTTGAACCACCATGAATCAGCCTTGACCCGTGTTCTAAAATTCCAGACTGTTTGCCGTCTGCACCCGCTATAGATCATACGTGTACTACACTACACCGCAATGTCTCAAACCAGATGTTCCAGTTCTCACCGTCCCGCTCTACCTTCCTGCACTGCCTCACCGCCCCTCCCCCCCGCTCCGCCTGTGCAGCACACCCGCACAACCCAGTCCTCGATCCCATCTTATCACACTGCATTACATCACCGCTCATTCTCTCCGCCGTCCTCATAGATGGGCTGTTTCTTCTTTTTCAGCTGCGGTAACTTAATCGCAAAAACTAGTGCATTGACAATGACAAACGTGGCCATCGCCGAGATGAAAACTAGACGCAGGCTACAACTATAGGCTTCGATGACTGTAAGACAAGTGTTAGTACTGGGACTGTGAGGCGCCGGGTTCGAGGAATGAGGGGCCACGTAGATGACGCGTTGCAGGGCACTAAGGGATTACTGGTCTACGAACCCTGGCTTTGATGTTTGGCGTCCAGGTCAACAATGCTGCGAACCGAACTGCGGACGCGTTGGATGATCTGTGTGGGCTGGTCAGACGGGTTCATTCCGTATGTGAATTTTCCGTCTCATCTTCGTCTTCTCCGTTTACCCAGCTCGTGGTGTACGCTCTACAGCACAAAAAACTAGATACTCTTCTTGACACTTGACGTTGTAAATGGAAGGGACAAGGGCTATGCCCACGTACCTTGGCCTTGTCATGTCCAGTGACTAGTCTATCGAGATATGTTGCCAACGCGTTCTGCAAGATGAGGCTGCTCAGTGACACTCCCATGACGATGCCCAGGCTACGCCACAAAACGAGTGTGCTGCTCATGACTGCCTGATCTTCCTGAGTGCTTGTCGCAAGAACAGCGAGACTTGTTGCTGGAAAACTCAAGCCTTGACCAATGCTCGATGGGACTAAGAAGACGGTGGCGAGCCACTTTGGCACATTGAACATCAAAGAAAGGCATGTAGCACCTAGCAGCATTGAGAGTGAGCCAACGACAATAAGCCACTTCATGCGACCCGTCGCAGTCATGACGAAGCCGGCCGACACGCCACAAACAGTCAGCGCAACTGAAGGACCGGCAAGACGGAAGCCTGATACGGATGCACTCTCAAGCTCGACAGCCTGGAAATATAATGGAGCATTGAACAGGATTGTGTTCATGCCAATCTGAGCAAAAAAGTTGTTGAAAACGAGATTGCCGCGTGGTTCGCTGAATAACATGGGCAGCGGCATGACTGGCCGCGTAGCTTTCGACTCGACTCTGATGAGCACGACACCGGTAACAAGCGCTACTATAAGTGAAGTAATAACGAGCCAATGTTTCCATGGATAGACGTTGCCTCCAAGATTCAGACCTAAGATCAGAAATGCAACAGATACCGTCAGCAAGACCGACCCTGCTATATCAAAGCCATTCATTGCGTCTCGGAAGCCCAATCCAAACCGTTTTGCCAGATTGGGCCCGAGACTGGACGGCGTCATGACAATGGCGTTGATCAGGAGGATGAGAATGACCGGTACCTGTAGAGCAAAAGTCATCCGCCAACCTAATTTGTCGCACAAAAATCCACCAAATGCAGCACCACAGGCAGATCCACCTCCATAAAAGAGATTGATGTACGCCTGGTATTTACCTCGCACCTCTATGCTGACAAGATCATTAGTCATGATGTTGCCCATTGACAGCACGCCAGCTGCACCAATACCACAAAAGGCGCGCGCAAGAATAAAACTTGCAATACTCTGTGCAAGAGCACACCACGCCGTCGTAGCTGCAAGTAGAGCGAGGCCGGCTAAATACAGAGGCCGACGACCAAACGTGTCCGAAAATCGGCCCATCAAGGGCTGAAGCGAGGTCGAGGTAAGCAAAAAGGCAGTCGACAACCAGGATGCAGAGTTGGATGCATGAAAGTAGGATGTGATGACTGGGTGGCTTGAAGCCATGAGGGTAGAATCAAACATGGCAATCTGGCATGATGCAATCAGCAAACCTACTATGTATAGGGGAGAGATGATAGAAGAAAATCACTTGGACATACAAAGTACCCCAACAAGATGCCCCCAAACACGCATCGAAACCTCCAGACCCCGACGCCTTGAAGCTTGCCATCTTGTTCGAATTTGGCCAATTCCTCTGTCTCTTGTCCTGCTGCAGAATGGCTCACAGACGCGATTGCGTCCCCATGCGAGTTGCTTTGGTCGTTTTCCACAACCGGGAACTGGGGTGCGGCTCCTTGGCCTTGCTGTGCTACTTCTGCAGCTGTGACTTCATCTCGGGCAATGTCTGTGGCATTCTGTTGGCGTTGCGACACAGAGCGAAGAAGCGGTGTTCGTTCCGAGGCAGGCAAAGGCATAGTAGCAAAAAGGAGCCTACTAGAGGTGCGGCAGACTCACAACGAAACCAAGACGAGGATTACTAGTAGCTATACAACCTTGGTCAAAACAGATTTCGGACCGAGGAATTCAAGTAATAGAAGGAATGGCGTGCGTTGAGACAGCTTCGGAGGTGCAGGCGTTAATGATCGTCAGCGCTAGTAGTAGGCCCCGAAATCGCCGTCGTTTTCCGCTATCAAAGAGGGCTGATGATTGCTGGTTCGCCCATGGCTTCAGCATCAAACCTCGCAAACATGAAGACCCCTTTACGCATAGCAATCCTCGAATGCGATACGCCTCCACCGGCCATTGTTGAAAAATACGGACGATATGATCGCATCTTTACGACGTTGCTCGAGGCAGCAGCCGAGGACTTGGGCTTATCTCCGAAGCAGGACCTGGATTTGAGCGCATTCGACGTTGTCACTGCGCAGGAGTATCCCGACCTGGAAAAGATAGATGCAGTACTGATATCAGGCTCAAGTGAGTATTCTTGTTACTATCATGGTGCAGAAACAAAAAAAATGGATTCTTGTGACTAATCGACATGCCACCAGAGCACAACTCATTCGACAATGACCCATGGATCCTCAAGTTGGTCGAGTTTACTCGAACATTACTCAAGCAAGACCGTGTCCGGGTGATTGGTGTTTGCTTTGGCCATCAGATTCTCGGAAGAGCTGCAGGAGCCAAAGTTGGGCGCAGTGATGATGGATGGGAGATCTCGGTCTTGCCCGTTCAACTCACAGCAAAGGGCAAGGAGATTTTTCAACAGGATAGTCTTGTAAAGTTGCGACCAGGCCATGCCACGGCTCGGGTTTTCTGACCATGTTTGCAGGCAATTCACCAGATGCACAGAGATGTAGTATTCGAGTACCCTGCAGATGTCGAGAAGCTTGGCGGATCGCCTCGTTGCTTGGTACAAGGCATGTATAAGAAGGGCAAATTGATTTCTCTGCAAGGTCACCCAGAATTCACCGAGCACATTGTCTCTTACTTGGTCCAAATGAGGGCTGATCAGGGCATCTTTGAGGAAGAGCAAGCTAGGGACGCACTGGAGAGAGTGGGCAACCATCACGACGGACTTGTCATTGCCAAGGCGTTTCTCCGATTCTTGCTTGAGGACTAGGTAGCATTTGCAATTGACCACTGTAGACATGAACAGGCAATGTACTCAGGTAGCCCAGAATTGGTTGCATGGCTCGCTGCTGCATCGCTTTGTACCTGTGATGGTGATTCTTGATTCGTGGGTCAAACTAGGATAGGTACCCCGCTACACATGCAGGCTTGCTTCTGCATCAAATTCTCGGCAGGGTATATATTTATATTTTTGTCAATATTTCACATCATTAGACTGGCTTCGTGGCGCAATGGTAGCGCGTCAGATTCCAGTTTCTCTGGAGCTTCCTGAAGGTTAGGCGTTCAAATCGCCTCGAGGTCACAAGCAGTTTCATTTTTTGGCCCCGACTACTCCACATCAAATTACCGTTGGGTGTGCCATGGGGTCGAGTTAGTTAGCGGATCCAAGGTTTTTTTTTCATTTCCATTTTTTTTGTCGTCAAATGGCGAACATGTTTTCCCGCCACATACACGTATTTGTACTGGATGATGATGGATCGGTATTTGTGGGTTTTTGTGTTGTTGCATGGGTGTATACATGGAGGGGACAATGATTGTGGAACGCGGGGTATGGCAATGCATTGATGCTGTGAAGCATAACACAAGCCTTGTTGCATGTCCGCGATAGATGAGCATTGCAACTGGTCAGCCGTGGGTAGCCCTCGTATCCCAGCCTACTGTGCTGCCCTCTGTTTGGTGGCCACGGCAAGCACGCAGCGCGCTGAAGGGGGGTATGGTGCCGTCGTCGCCCTGCCAACGACAGCCTACTTACTTAGACCTAGTGCGTGTACATGGACGTACATATGTATGTATGTACGTGTAGCATGTAGCATGCACATGTGCATGTGTAGTACCAAGGCCAACAAAACATGGCGTCATGCGCTCGAGGGGTAGCGGGGGGCGGCCGAGGCGGCGGCCGCCGCTGAGTGGCTGGCCCGTCCGTCCAAAAACGTTGTCGCTGCGCCTTCTCGAACCAGCGCTGGCCAGGGTCCACTGTCACTCACTCGCTCCCTCATCCGCTCTCCATCTTGCTTTCCCACAGCTCTTTGCTCTGCAGTACCGTCGCTCGCTTCTCCTACGCCCCTTCTGCTTCGCCTCCGGCTGTGCCGTTCTCCTCGATTTCCAAAGTACTCGTTGTAATTAATCCTCTTCGCTGGCTTCGCATGCGCTTTGCTCAATAACCGCCTCTCGGCCTCTCAACACTCCCCATGGGAAAGTGTAAGCACACTCCTTTCCCCTCTCTTTTGCCCCGCGCCTTTTCATGACCACTCGAAGCTAACGCGCCATGCTGCACAGGGAGATATGGTGTAGTCCTGGACGCTGGGTCCTCTGTACGTCGTCGGCGCACTTGCTCTGTCGTCGCAGTGCTGTAGCTAATAAGTTCAAAGGGGACGCGCGTCCACGTCTATCGCTGGCTGAACCACAACGCAGCCCGTAACAAGGCTACTGATGCTCAGTTACACAGCCTGCCCGTCATAGAGACGGACAAGAAGTGGACTAAGAAGATTCATCCCGGTAAGTCGGCCTGTACCCACCTGCGCGCAAACTAACCTTATCCGCAATCCCCTAGGCATCTCTACCTTTGGCGAAAACCCTCACCGCGTCGGTCCAGATCATCTTGAAAAACTCCTCAGCCATGCGCTCAAACAAGTCCCTGTTGATCAAGTCTCGAATACCCCTCTCTTCTTGCTTGCCACGGCGGGCATGCGCATTCTGCCCGAGTCACAGCGTAAAGAAATCCTCCACCAAGTTTGCCAATTTGCCCGCAGCACGACCCAGTTCCAGTTACCCGATTGCGATGTACATATCCAGGTTATACCAGGAGAGACGGAAGGCCTATATGGTTGGATAGCAGCAAATTACTTGCTAGGTGGCTTTGATCAGCCAAAACTTCATCAACACGGCAATGGCCACAGCACATATGGTTTCCTAGATATGGGAGGTGCATCGGCACAGATTGCTTTCGCGCCAAATGCTACCGAAGCTGAGAAGCACGCTGACGACCTGACCCTTTTACGACTACGAACATTGGATGGCACACCGCTGGAGCACAGAGTCTTTGTTACCACATGGCTGGGTTTTGGGGTTAATCAAGCGCGGGAACGATATATAAAGGCACTATTAGACTCCAGCACTGAAAAAGAACTCCCAGACCCTTGTTTACCCGCAGGTCTTAGGCTGGAGGTCACACAAGAGGGCAAGTTCATCGACTCGGACTCGGACGACGGTGATGACGACGACGATGAACCGACATCAAAGGCCGCAGCAGAACTCGTAGGAACTGGAAAATTCCCGGAATGTTTGCGCCAAACCTATCCGTTGTTGGAAAAGGAAAAGAAATGCACAAACTCACCATGCTTGATCAATGGTCAACATGTACCTGCTATCGACTTCAAGGTCAACCACTTCGTAGGTGTATCCGAATACTGGCACACGACCCACGAAATATTCGAGCACGGACACAAGGACAAGGCCTATGATCTGAAGACCTATCAAGAGCGTGTAAACCAATTTTGCACTCAAGACTGGAAGAGTATTGAAAAAGGCATCAAGAAGGAGAAGTGGGGCAAAAAGGTTGATCAAGACAAAGCACGTGAAGTCTGCTTCAAGGCATCTTGGATCATTAGCATGCTACACGACGGCATTGGCGTCCCTCGGGTCGGAATAGAGGGTCTAGACGGCAGCCAAAATACCACCAAAGCCGTACTCGACAACGCCAAGGCAAAAGGGTTCACTGACCCTTTTCAGGCAGTCAACAAGATCAACGACATAGAACTCAGCTGGACACTTGGCAAAATGGTCCTCTACGCTTCTAGTGAGATTCCACCGCCTTCTGAGGAAGCACTTGCCGTGGGCTTCGGTTCCAACGCTCTTGGCATACCTGCAGACTTCCAGTATCCAGGTGGTACCCCCAAGGCGTACGAATCAGAGAGCAACTGGCATCGCCTCTTTGTTGAGCATCCTCAACAAATACCAGGCTTCTTTGTCATGATTTTTATCATTATTGTCATCTTTTGCTTGATCTTGGGCAAAGAGCGGAGGAGCGCAGTCAAACAGTCGATAAGCAGGATTTTTAAGAGCAAACAAGGCAAAGACCCCTTGCACCGTCGCCGCGGCCGCAGTTTCCCAGCCAAATTCTTTGGTTTTGGCGGTTCGTCATCTGCGAGCCAACAGCCGTACGAGCGTGTAGACCTGGAAGACGGTGAATTGGCCAATGAGTTTGAACTTGAAGAAACCCACCTTGATTCTAGCGATAATGAACTCTCCGATTCTTCCGAGGAATCCAAACTAGGCCGGACCAGCGGGTGGGCTACGCCACAAATCAAGACCCAGCCCGTGAGTGCGCCGAATTACTTTGGTAGCACGACTGGCGAACTGGCGAGGGATGGCATGGGCTTGGGTCTCGGCCTGCCAGGAGGCGCGTTTGAACTTAGCCGGACCGTCAGTCGGGAGAGAATCAAAAGTCGGACGAGTAGCCCCAAAAGGGCCAAGAGTACAATGAGTAAACTTGATGAGTAAAGGAAACGCTTAATGAAGACGCATACATACTACCTGTATATAGCAATAGGGGCTCATCTTGTTTTATCGTTTCTTATTCTTTTTTTTTCCATCCGGTTAGCTACAAGATCGTACTCGCTGGACAATGTCTTTTATATTTTGCATCTCTGGGTTGCAAGGTTTCGGCGTTTTTTTTTTTCAAAATACGCAGTAGATACATGTATTTGATTCACTTTCTCGACAAGCAAATAAACTTGTCATCTTTTCCAATCACCTGTTCATTTTCCTTCATTGTCTCTTTCTTCTCCATTCCACACTGCATGTGAATATTCCTCTCGTATTAAATATATAGTACGCGTGTCTATGATGGGCCATACGTGTATGCTATGTTCGCCACCATTCATCCCTTTGTATGCACTCACAAGACGTGGAAAAACTCTGTAAAACCCTCTCGTTCAATCCTCGGTCGTTTGGCCTCCATTTCTCCCGCCCCCTTCTCCCCATTAACCCCTTTCTCGTCATCGTCTGACCATTTCCTCTTGCTATCTTTCTCTTCAGCCTTGCTTTCTGCTTTCTCTTGCCCTTCTCTCCTTACCCAGAACCGGTGTCCCAGACTCCTCTCACATAGTGACTCACTTTCCTTGATCATCGCATCTGTAATCTCCCTCTCTTCCCTCTCCTTGGCACTCAGCTCGGGCTGACCTACCACTAGATCTAATGGCTCATTGTTGAGCCGGAAAAATACCCTCTGGGCAAATTTCGTCTTGCTACGGTTCCTCGGAAATCTGTACCTCATAGTTGATGGGTTGCTGAAAGGAAAGTAGCTACTGGAATTGTAGTCTTGTTTATCTTCTACCTCCAACATCTGCCACCGCTCATCTTCAAGCAGCGTGACAAGCTCTGATTTTCCCCAATCTTCGTAAATATCATTGGGTACATTTGCAGTAAGCTTCTTCAGATTCTTGAACTGTGAAGCGTAGCGCATCCAAAAGCGACGCCAGCCAATCATTTCACGTTCCATGAGTGCTTTCTCTGCCGGTGTGGGGCGTTTTGCTGCACGAAGCCAGCCCGAGACACCTGGAACATCGGCAGGGTACTGAATGGTTAGCTCGTCTACCATAGAGGCGATGGGGGTGAGACTAAAGACTGCCTGGGTCGGCAGAAGCACTTCGCGCCTGTCGGCACCCTCGCCGATAAAAGTTTTGAATGGACCAAAGTACAAGCTACCATCCAGACCTGATGAGGGGCAAGTATTTCCACGATCACCAATCGAGATGCGAATGGGTATATCCAAACTTCTGAGTCGTGCCACCATTGTCTGTATGCGTGAGAGAATGTCGGGTTTGGGCAGAAAAGTACGATTGGGCTCAAGGTTTGCAGGGAAGACATCGCACATCATGCTTTCCCAGGCAAGAACTGGCTTCCAGTCACACTCTCGCGCAAGCCATCGTAATGCTTCCTGCACTTCAGGCTTGGAGCTTGGATCGCTCATTGCTGGATCGTTGATTTGCTGGGGCGGTTGGCCAAAATGATTACGTCGCTGCATGACGTTGACTAGATGAAACGGATGCAAGGTTATGTTCCGGAGGTTCCGAATAGGTTTCATGTTGATGTTAGGGTATTTCTTGGATATGGTCTGCAGACTCTGGAGTAGGTCTTCAAATGACGCCCCGACGCCTTGCACAACATGGTTACCCAGGACCATGTGATCGCGCTCGCACGCGTCAAATGTCTTGTCGTCAAAGGCTTCTTCCTCGTCGCGATGGTGATGACCTTGGGTTATCCGGTATGGAATTGGTCCGATGACGTCCCTGTCACGGCGGTCCTCCATCCAGGAATAAAGGCCTATCTCGACATCTTTGATGCGCGACCACTTTGTCGCATCTGTGGAAAAGAGTGACCGATAGGGGGCGTAGTCGTGTACCCTAAGCTTTGTCATGGTTTCTGGGCAGTACTTTTGTACGCCGTCTACGAGACAGCAGACGCGTTGATGAACCTCCCATTCATTCCATGTGCTGGGTAAGGGAGTTAGCGTGGGTAAATGACGATATGACGATGCGACTTACTGGAAGCCCGAATATCGCTCCCGTATCGCAAGCGTCTTTAGCCTCTTGCAAATGGGGAAGATGGCGTTGGCGACGGATCCACCGTCTCGTCTCCGTGATATTCTGAAGCTCTGCTTGAAGCGGTAGTCCTGGTACGAGTAGCTGTATTCGATGCGAGAGTGTGCAGTGTAGTCTGCCCAGTTTGCTACCTCTAGCTCTTCTAAGCGTCCAAACAGACATGGGCAGGCGTCGGCCAACATCTTCCACGTCCAAGTCTCTTCAGGAGTCCAGACAAAATCCTTGATGGCTGATATGTCAAGGCTGGTGAGGCAAGGTAGATTGTTCTCTATCCACTTGAAGTCGTCGATGCTTGCCCAGTGCGACATTGCCAGCTTGTGGACATGGCGGCGATTGGAGTCATTGATGCTGTCCATGAAGCTCATCCACCGGGTCCTGCCGATGCTCCTATACTTCCAGTCGCCCAGCCTTATGTCACGCACGTCGTTGAGTTGTATGGGGTATTTGTAGAGTAGTTGGTTCACGGTCACGCTGTTTGCCATGCCCTTGCACAAGCGCTTTAGACTCCACGCAGCGTCGCGATCCAAGTAGTCCATGACGCATTTGAAGATGTCGTCAGGCAGTTTCAGCAGCATGCTGCTCTGGCTCGCGGCCGCCTTGGGCATCGGCTGATCGAGTGGATCAAAGCCCGAAGGACTACACTCGCGACTCGGAGTCAAGTCGAGCATCTCGGGCGAAAAGTAGTCGAAGTCGTGGAAGCTGAATAGATTCATCAAGTAACGCTCGTAGCTCATCAGGGAGATGTCAGAGGCAGAGAGAGGGGGGGCCGGGGCGCGAACGGAGGCTGGGGCGCAGCAGGCGCTGTGAGCAGCAGCCCGATTGGGAGGGTTATCACGAGAAGAGAAGGCACGAGAGCCAGCATGTGCAATGTGAAGGTGGTGGAGCTCAATGTGAGTGCAAGGGTAAAGGCGAGGGTGAGGGTGAGGGCGAGGATGCGGGCTGAGCCTGTTGTCGGCCTGTTGTGGCACAGTGGCTGGTGGGTGAGAGAGCGACGGTGCACCCTGGTGGAGTTGCGGAGAGCGCTTCGGAGGTAAAGGCGGTGCCAAGACATGCCGCCGCTCTGACCGACGGCCGCTTCAAGCTTTGTTCGTTGCACTGGTATTGCAGTACCTCGCACCCAAACACACGCGCATTCGATCCCCGTCTCCCCCCTTCCTCCACCATGGCCGACGCCCAGGTCTTCGAAGAAACGTTTAACATCACGTCCATTAACAACGAGAAATATGATCGTGTCTCGCGCATCTATGGCACCTCGACCGACAGCCAGATCACCATGACTCTCGACATTAACCACGAACTGTTCCCTGTAACGGTTGGCGAGAGCATCAGCCTGGTCCTAGCCACAACTCTTGCCCTCGATGGCAGCTCAAAGGGCGAAAACGACACAATGTGGAGAAATGTAGGCAAACAGGGCGTGGCGACGCTGGCGGATATGTATGACTATGTCTGCTACGGCAAAAACTACCGTATGGAAGGAGGCAACGGAGACACCATGTGAGCACTGTCGAGGCAGCCCTGCCATGTCGGACTGGCTACTGACTGCATGCAGAAAATACTTTGCTAGTTTTGGCGGGCTTTTGCTATACATGGAAGGACCTCACCGCAAGCTCAGCGGACTGAAGATTGACGACATCTACATGCTTGTGAAGCACTCATAGTTGGGCGCTTCATCGCGCATATGAGAGAATGACAAAGAAAGCATGGGCAGGCGTTCTGGTGGTATGGGGTATTGGTATCCTCTGGTCTAAAAGTTCGGCAAGGCGTCTGGATACCCTCTTGAAATAAAAGGACGCCTTCAGAGGCTCTCCCATCTCTGGCGAGAAATTCCCAATGCTCTTTTTTATTTTCATAGTGTGGGAAATTCGAGTTTTCTGTGCAATCGGCTCACCAGTTCGATGTAATCCCTCTCGTTCTCCGTCGTCAGGATGCCATGCCGCACGAGAAAATCGAGCACGACCAGGGAACAGTTGGGCTTGAACTCTCCATTTCTCATAGCCTCCTGCACCTCGTCTACGGTCCATAGGTAGAACTCCTCAACCTCATCGTCGCCGGGCTTCGGTATCGTATCTTCAGGAAGCTCGAGATCATAGACGTATTGAACTTCAGGCTGCATCAAGTTCGTCTCGCCCCCTGCTCTCTCGTCGCGGACGTACCAGTAAGTGACTGTGCCGCACGCCTTTGCATTCTTGCGCACCAGCTCTTCCGGCAGTGAAGCCTCTTCTGCGCATTCTCTGACCAGGCTCTCAAATGGGCTCTCCCCCGACGCAATGCCACCAGCCACGGCATTATCGAGCATGCCTCCATATGTCTGCTTTGTAAGTGCCCTTCTCGGAGTCCAAATCTTGATTTCTCCACGCGTGCGTGTAAAGGCAGTCAGGTGTACACCGTATGTGATGACACCAAATAGGGGACTGGCACTTCTCTCCACATTGAACAGCAACTCTTTATCCTTTCCATAGACAGCATACAACTCCCCTCTCCACTTATCCAGCACCTTGAAATGACCGGTTTTGCGCAGTGCCAGCAGTGTCGTCTCTACCGCTGCGGACCGCTCTTGTGCGTTTGAGCCAGCTGTGAGGCATAGAATCCGCGCATTATCATCAATCTCCCAGTTTGAGACGCCACGAAATACTTCGACAACCGAAGGTAGCATATAACCGAGCCCATAATTGTGGCCTGAGACGCGCAGTTGGTAGTACGTGTTGATGGAGGCGAGATAGGTTTCCAAGTTTACGTCAGGGTAAGGGAATCCATCGCATTGGTTCACAAGGTCAATGTTTGACAGCGGCATGTTTGCTGCGGATGCTAGGCCAGGTGGTATGCGTGAAGGTGTGGAAGGATGATTGCTGGCCGCAGGTACACAGCAAGGTTACGTAGGGCCATGGTGGGGGCGGGGCAGTACAGCATTGGGCAATTACCATGGCTAGCTCTCGCCATGCCCTCAGTTGTGAAAACATTTTAATGGCACTGTCATGCCTGCAATTGAAGTGGACATGTTCAACCGCACCATGTCTAACACCCATCGAGTCCAGTCTAAGCGGTGTGTGTTCTGGTCGTAATTAGTTGCTTTAAGCTAGTTACGTTGAAATGCACGGATTCTCCAGTGTACGCCGTAAAACCATGACACTCATTTCCCAACACCTACGACAAGAATCAGCAGATTATGTATACTATGAGCCACAGAACGGAAAACCAAGAACAGGAAGAAGTCAATGCGAGAGTGGCGTTCATAGTTCCGAAGAGCCACGTCAAGACAGTGAAATCTGCTCTTGAACGAGCCGGCCAGCTCGACCGGAGCAGCAAAATTGTGCCCGAGCTGTGTGAAAATCATACGACACTCGCCGCGCATACTACTCTAAAACAAGGCGATGTAGTTTCAATTCGAGAATCGTCGACCACGAAAGCATCTAGTACGCAAGGCGAAACGAGGTTGTCGCTATTTGAGTACGATTCTGTCAAGGGACATAACGTTCAACTTCCTGCCGGGAAGGATGCGTTGGTGCCAGTACAAGAAGAGAGTGTGTCCCAGCAACGAATGCGTATCCCGACGACCATCTTCTATCTTTCCATCAGTAGCGATACAAACGCGGATCTGACCGAAGAGAACAATGATGGGTTTAAGTCTGCAATATTACAGAACTTGAATCTGGAGTATCTTCACAACGACATTGAACTAGCACACCATGCTGCTGGAGCTAGTCCTCTCAAATCTTCAGCCATGAAAAGCCCGATGCACAGGGCGTTGAAAGAAGCTCTGTCTACCTTACAGGATTCGGTGCTAGCTGACATGGACTTGTCGCCTGGCGTCCTTGTCTCCGCTTTCCCAGATGGGTACTCGATATACAAACCCATGCTTCTGCTTCCACACAATGCTTTTGGGTCTACAGAATGGGAGATATTCCTATCTCGACATGCAGTGGATTCAGAGTTACTAGCACCAGTCTGGCAGCATGTTGCAGCATCAGTTGGTGCAACACATGTAGCAATCAACTCACCTATTCCACCAAAGACAAACATCAACCCCAATATGGATTTGGGGATAAGTCAGAACCAAGAGAATATTCTGCGCCGACCAGTCAATCTTGTACCGATACACGGTGACTTTGGACCCAGCCCTACGCCCCAGACAATCTCATGTCCCACTGCCACTGACTTTGAACGAGCGTTATGGGTTACTACAAAACAAAACGGTATTTGGCAAGTCTGGGCACCTTTGTATACAATGTTTAGCCGTGGCAACATCCGCGAGAAGACTCGAATACTCAACCTCGCTGCAGTCACGACCGACTTGGACGAAGCCTCGGCAGCTGTGGATCTCTATGCAGGCATAGGCTACTTTGCCTTTTCATACAAGAAAAGTGGGGAGTACCGCCAGGACGGGATTCGCAGAGTATTGTGCTGGGAAATCAATCCATGGTCGGTTGAAGGTCTGCGACGAGGCGCAGAGAGGAATGGTTGGTTATGCAAGATTATTAAGGGAGACGACCTTTGTCAGTTGAGGCAGACCAGTGCAGAGGCCCCGAATGGACTTGCTTTCCCAGCGCTCAAGGAAACTGACATACAAAAAGCGGACTTTTGGGTGTTTCAGGCAAGCAATGAAGGAGCCAGGTCAGACTATGCAGCCATGAGTACAAGTTCGGGCTTGGTTTGCCAGCTACCCATTCGGCATGTAAACCTAGGCTTGCTGCCTGCTTCGACATTATCGTGGGGTATTGCAGTTGATATGCTAGATGGGCAACGCGGTGGATGGATCCACGTACACGAGAACATTGGGATCAGAGAGGTCGAGTCGAGAAGCAAGGAGATTGAAGGAGAGATTGACAAGCTAGTCAAGCGCCGAAACGACAAGACATGCAACATGGCTGCAAGGGTAGAGCATGTTGAGTGGGTTAAGATGTATGCGCCAGGCGTTGTACATTGTGTCTTGGATGTGCATGTCCAAGGAATACTGTAGTTTTTTGGGGGCGCAATACTCGGCGCTTTTTTCCTTTCATCAGCCACTAGGCAGGCCTAATCGAGTTACTCTGGGCAAGCACGTGGTGTTAACTGGTGGCGTGCAGACTTGTAGAGTAGTGGGAGAGAATATGTGTTGCATTAGTTTGTATACGGGACTTAGCAGCCAGCGGGCCAGTGGGGGGAGGGGGGTTTGCAGCCACAAGGCTGCTGTTTGGACGGGTAGAGATCTTCGCCCTCTCCAAGGCGGTTCTGCTGTTGGTGGAAATGGCCGATATCGGGCGACAGATAGTGAGGCGCTCTTGAGGTTTGCAAATGTGGTTATGTATTGGCAGAAAGCTTGTGGGTGATGTTGCGGTGCTGGCGAGAAGCGCGGTCCGAGCGGCTCCGAACAAATGTGACAAGGCTTCTTGGGTGTGTGTGTACCTGTGGTTTCGGCGTGGATACACCGCCTATTATTGCTGTCGCCTGTATTTGTATTGTTGTCGTGGGAGCGGTAACTGGAATGAAGCGCCGCTCGCGCCGTATCGGGGCTTGGGGACAGAGTGGTTGTGTTGCACCAAGGCTTTTTGGCAGCGCGTGCATGAGAAGAGCCTAGGGTATCCTGGGAGGTGAGCTACGGTAGGCGTGGACTGCTGGCTGGCGGCGGATAGGATGCATCATGGTCATGAGTGGCGGCACGGGTGGCGGTGGTAGTGGTGATGGTGCGAGTCCAAGTAGGGGTGCTTTGTCATTATTATGGTCATTATCATCACCATTATCAAGGGCGTGAGCATCCATGTGCGCGCAGGTGTGTGGACATAGACCTACAGGTGCCATGTATGTATGCCAGTAGGTACATGATGCATGTCATGTGCAGGGCTGGCCGTATGATGTACCGTAGAGGAGGATGGAGGCTCGAGGTGCAGGTCGACTGCTCTGGTCTGGCAAGGCGGCTGCAGCCTCAGCCTCTCTGCCCTCTCACCGCCCTTCCATAACTAAGCAGCCAAACCCACCCTCTCCCCTCTCCGCACACACGCGACACGCTGCCTGAGCACGCATCCACCCACGGCCCCTCTCCAAGCTCCTCCAGGCTCCCCCAGGCTCCACCAGCCTCTGTCTCCACGGCCTCGTGCTGCCCTGCCGCCTCACAAGCACCCGTGCACCCACTGCACACTGACACGCTGCATGCTGCACTCGTCAAACCGCCGCGTGTGACATCACCTTCACAGCCCTTCACCCCTCACCCCTCGTTCTCTACCTTTGCCTGTGCCTGCACCTTCACCCTCGCCCCTTCCTCTCCCGCCAGACACCCCATCAACAGTCGACAGGGCGCTGCCATGGGTCTACGAGGCCGCCGTACTGCTCGAGCCCGCCACTTCGACAACGGCTCCGTCGCCCACTACTAAGACCCCCGCCCACGCTCCCATGGCGGAATGCGCCCACTGCCAGCCATGATCGGACATCTTTTCAGCAGCCGTAAGGGCGCAAACGCGTCGCATGCCGCCTCGCCCACGGTTCTCGACTCGGCCACGGAAGAAAGCCACACGCGACACCTGCTGTATCCCGAGTCCAACACACTCTACCACCCCGACGGCCAGCCCTATCCCTTGCACGCCGCGCCCCTGACGCCCGGCAGCGGACATGACGGGCCTCTGCCTGAGATTGACCTCGACTACCCTCGCGACTGCCGCATCATCATCGCCCAGGATGAGACTCCGGCCAT